AGGGCAGGATCCTGCTGGCATGAAATTTGCAAAAGCTCTGCGTACGCCTGCGCCACAAAGGTAAGCTCACAAGTCTGGTCACGCAAATACGCACACGCAGCTGCAAACCAAGGGATCGCATGCGTCCATGCATCGACGACCTGACTTGGCAACACGTCCGCTGCATGTAAGAACAAGGGACAATACAGGAAGCTGTTGGTTGTTTCGTCATTGGTCGTTGGAGGCAGGCCTGCAAAATAACCGCGGTTTTCAACATGGCAAGCAGTCTCAACAGGCGACAGCGGCTGCATTTCAGAGGCGATATGTGCACTGCTATCAGCGGCGCTCAGCAGGGAGCCGGTTGCACCACACATCCAAGTGTAAGTTTCATTGGAAAAATCATGAAAAATCCAAACACAAACGGCAACCACTCTGCAAAGCGCATGAATGATTGGCACGCCATGCCGCCAAGCAGTCATCGTCTTGTGTGAAGGTACGACCACAAGTGTTACACACCCAATTACCCAACCAGCCGGAATGAACACGACAACCATTGCGACCGCTTTCAAACCGCTCAACGGGAGCCCATGCCATGCGCCGGCTGGCAGCTGCAATGTTGATGGCGATGTAGCGCTCGCAACACAGCAGAACCAACTCTTGCGGCTCAGCCGGTACGACGGGTTCCTCGGGTTCAGCTTGCACAGGCAATTCCTGCCAGTCACGGGCAAAGCGGACACCGGCAGACTCGCAAGCTTGGCGGAGCTCGTGGTCCGCATCCTCACCAGGCCATGCCATGCGACAGTGTGGGCAGCTCGGACGAAACTGACGCACACGCAATTGCACAGCACAGTTCAAGTGCAACTCCAAACGACACGAGCACGGCCAAGACCATATGGCATCACCATCAGGCGCAAGTTCACAGCAGCAAATCGAGCAGACACGCACATGTGGCTCCGCTGGCCCGGAGCTTACGACTGCAACATTGCGAGGTGTTGCAAAACTGTCCAGCTCCTCTCTGGGCATGCCGGGAGTGGTCGGCAAGCTGGGACTGAAGTTACTGTCGTAAATGATGGGGGAACTCGGGCGCCCCACGCCCCGTTGAAGCACGGGTGGGGGTGCTTGTTCGTGCGAGCCTTTGCAAAATAGGAGTGCGATTGATCTCCCTCGGCATGACTCCGTGCTGTGTGCAAATGTGCCGTACTTATTATCCCGCTCAGGCAGCGGAGCAGGCCATGGCGCAATCACGAGAGTAGGGTAAGACGAACCCGAGGCTATCTCACTGCTTTCAAGGGGTGCTCCTTGATCAAAATTTCGCCAATCCCAACACCACTTACAAGTGGTTGCTTAACTGTTGCGCCAAAGCAGCGCAGCCGAAGCACGCGAACTCTTGCAGGCGGAAGGTTGGCATGAGTGCCGTACCGTCCTTGGGAAGCAGTCAGCGCGGGTGCCCGACCACCTCGTTCAACCGAAAAGTAGGCGATTGGCCACATGGATGGCGCGTTGTGCATCGCGTCCTCGCAACCTCTCTTCTTTCGCGAGCGCACGCTGCCGCCGTCTCTGTCGCCGTCCGCTGGCGCCCTCCTCCTGGCCTGCTGGCCCACAGGCCGGGGCTTGGTTGACAGCCATACGCCGTGAGCCGGCCTGCACGCTCCCGCCCCAAGCAATGCTGCTGGCACTGCGCCCCCGCCTGCGCCTTCCGTTGCCCCTGTGCGCCAACCGTTGTGGCCCGCCCGGATGCGGAGGCGAAGTGGATGCTTATGGCGACCACGCTTTGGCATGCACGCGCACCGGTCTCATAGTTCGCAGGGCGAAAATTGTGGAACGGACTTGGGTGCGAGTGGCTCGGGAGGCCGTGGGTCCTCAGCGGGCCTGCCACTCCGCGGCCCGTCGAAGCGTCGTAGTGAAGGCAGCTGCGCTGCGTGTACGAAGTACAGCAAGAGCCCAGATCATGCAGGCGCACAAGAGGCGTGACAAAAAGAATCTTTGAGTCCTTGCACATCCTTGCACGTTGCCTGCTGGAATTGTTTGCGCATTTTGCACGACGAGCCAAAGAGCATCAAAGAGCGCACCTACCCTGAGCTGTGCAATGCTGTGCAGGTCACCGTATCTCGCCGTTTTTGCAATTGAAGTCGGCGGCCGCTAGAGTGCTGAGGCCGCCTCCTTCGTCAGACAGCTTGCACGGTGCAAGGCACGCTCCGCTCCGTCACCGTTCGCGAGCCTCTGCAATCTCCGCATTCAACCTGCGGTGGTCTGCGCTTTTGACCTGCGCCGCAGCGCGCTCCTTTGCCGCAAGCCTCGTGTCGCTCCCACGTACCGGCACCGAGAATGCGAATGTCGACGGAGAGCTACCCCGACTGAGTGGCATGCTCGCCGACACTCCCTCACTGCCTCCTCTCGATAGCCGTCTCGTGTGAGCGGCGTGTGCTGCGCCTGGCAGCCTGACAGTGGTCTGTGGCCTATCTGGCATTTAGGCCTGCGCTGGGACTGCATCGCACGTTGGGCGGTGAGAGAGGCATTGAAAAAAACGCAAACGCAAGATCCGGCCAAGCACGGCCCAGGGGAAGCGCAAGAACTATGTGAGGCTATGCATGTGTGTATCTTTGGTGTATATATCCATGGTATTCAATTCAGATGGTTTGATCCTTATCTCGGACTTATCTCGTTCTGTTGTGGCTGATGTGGCTGTGCAGTTTATCTGCTGCTGTTGACCTCGCATGAAACGGACCGTCAGACAGCAGTTGCATGGTACGTACGCAGCAACGTTCCAAAGTTTCTGAGCATATGCGCAACTTGACGTAGTGCACTCGCGAGGTGTGCGAAACACAGAAAGTCTCAGTTTAAGGTCTTGGCTCATTCTGTTCCCGGTTGAATTCTTTAACACGGACCTGCACCAGCCGCTGACGAGGCTGACCCCGATGTCCCTTACCGCGGCTGGCAGCGCCCCGCTTCTCGCGCTCTCGAGCTGCTGAGCATCGCCGTGCTGTCGGTCCTGCCGAGCTCGCACTCCTTGACTCTCAAGCCGGCCCTTTGCCGCCCGGGTGTTCACTGTCCGTCCCACTGCGCTTGAGCTCGTCCTTGACTCTGCAGTCTTTCGGGTCTTGCTCCTTCGTCGTTTGCGGCTTCCGTTGCCTCTTGCCCCTGCTCGTTGCCGCTGCCGGAGGCCGGTCGATGTCTTGGGTGACCACGTCGCTGCCATTCGCTGCCTGTCCTCGGTCTGGGGTTCTTCGGGCACGGGGAGGTCCGCTCGAGCGTGCAGCGGCTCGGGTTTGCCGTGAGGCTGGCGCTACAGTTGCCACCAACGTCCTTGTCCGCGATCTCAACCTCGATGCCTCCAGACATAACGAGCGTCGCGTTGAGGTCATCGGCAATGGATTGCCGTTCTGGGGTGGCTCCCAACTTGCTGTTGACACGACGTTGGTGTCGCCACTCACTTCTGCCGGTGTGCCCCGTCGCCGCCGTGGCGGCACTGCAGGAGCTACCTTGGTTGAGGCCCGCAGGGCCAAGGAGCGCACTTACCCTGAGTTCGCTGGTGCCCATCGGTGCCGACTGGTTGTCCTTGGCCTCGAGGTTGGGGGTCGCTGGAGTGCAGAGGCAGCCACGTTCATCCGTTTGCTTGCAGGGGCACGCTCCCGAGGTCGCAGCGGGCAGCATGCGGTGCTGCTTTTGTAGCAAGGCGGTCTGGGTTTTTTCTCTGTCGCAGCAGCGCGTTCCTTCGCAGCCAGCTTGCTGTCCCTTCCCATCTCCAACACTGCCAACCTTGACGGCGAGCCGCCTCTCCTGAGTGACGTCCTTGCAGACTCGTCGGAGGTGCCGCCCCTTGCCTCCCGGCTGTCGTAAGCCTCGGCTAGGTTAGGTGAGGTGGAGTCTTCTCCTCGAACAGGTTGCGCCCGGTAGTCTGCTGCACTGGGGCCGCGCTCGGATGTTTGCAAAATGGTCCGCAAATTTTTTCAACAAATTGCTCGATGGTGGTCAGCCTTGCTGCACGATTGCACGCCGTCTGTGAAAGCACTTCAATAGAGTTCATGAGATGCCAAGCCGGTTGCTGTGCTCCGTAGTCTGCCCCAGACATCGAAGGGGCGTGAAAATCCAGTCCCAACTTCAACAAAGTACAGCTCAGTGGTCAGGCTCAACGCCCAAATTCGATCAAATTCGTCTGTAGCAACAGCATACACGATTTTCAATCAACAACAAAAAACACAAAGCACGAAGTCAATCCTGACGGAAAAAGGCGCGTAAAAAAATCCTCCGCTCAATTCCCGGGGAACCGCATACCGTACCGATTTCCCACATAATTACAGTTGCATGTTGAAGTGTCGCACGAGAATGATGGCCATATTGTGTTTGTTTGCGCTGTCCTTAGTGTGTCATGTAAGCGGGAAGCACGAATTTTGCATCCACCAGGTTAGCGCTTCCAAGCATGCAATGATTGATATTGATTGATACCGGCGGCAGCGCAGAAAGCCGAATCGTTGAGGCCATCAGCCCACTCGCCTGGGCCCGCGTTTCAGTAAGGACAAAAATGCAAAACTAACGCACGTGCGGTTCGCGGCGCCTTTGTCGAATGGTCATCGACTTTCGACCTTTGCGACACAGAATCGTGGCGGCTGCCGCGCGAACTGCATACAGGCACACGTCCGCGGCGTCCTGGTCAGCAGACCGGGTGCTGGGCGGTCAGCCTTTTCTCACAAGTCGTGATTGGCAGTGAGTTACCACTTGAAGGGCGAAACGGCCATCTGCAAGCTACTGTCGCCGGCCTTCGGGCGCAACAGCTTCGCGTGCGACTTTTCATTCGCTCTGTCATTGTATTTTTTGGACATTTTTGGACTTCCTCGGTCTGTTGGTCCTCCCATCAACTTGTGCTGAAAAAGGGTGGTGTCATCGCAAGCCAAAGCAGTTGCACTGATAAGAAACAATTTGATATCTCGCTTGGCCCATGTGTGCGGTCCCGCCCAGCTGCCCTCAGGCGTTTCACATTGATACCATTTGATACCATGTTTCGGCTCAGAAAATGATTTCTGAATATGGCGCCGACGCCCGAAGAGTTTGAGGCTTCGGCTGCAGCCTCATACAGCGTTCCTCCATGATTGTCTGATTGCGAAAAGTAGCGAAAAAGTCATGGCTGTGTTCACACAATGAATCGGCGCCCGAAAACACAAAGCAATTCATTCCCGTTCCTGGCTCAGGTATTGCCGGATCGACCATGCCTTTTGAACGAGAAGTTCAAGGTGGCCACGGCTACCCATGGAACGAAATATTTATATGGTACTTCTTGCAGTTTGCAGGTGCACTCCTATGATGGAGGAGCATTTAAAAGCAAGGGGCAGTACGACATCAAGCCAAAGCCTCAGTTCTTGTTTCGACGTTTTCCAGCTTGTTGATCATGTCGGTACTTCTCTTCTCGTGAGTGCAATTGCGAGAGCCCGGCAATGAGAGAAACCGTAAAGAGCGCACGCAATGGCATGGATCCACACGACAGGCAGTGTCGAACAGTGTTACAACATTACAACAGACATTGGGGAGCACGTAGACTTGCCTGCAGGTTGGTGTGATACGATGTCAACAACAGAGTGAAGCTTCCTGCTATTAAGGAATGTGTTAGTTCCATTGCTTGAGCCCTTCCATTGCTCTTCAAGTGGAACAAAGCCTCAAGCTCAGTCGGTTGATGGTTGTACCGGTTGTACCATTTGCAACCCAGCGCGGGCCAGCTCGAGCACAGGTTCAATCTAGTCTTGAAATGCGCCGACGACTTCACGCTGACCCACTTCTATGTTAGTGGTACGCGCGGCAGCATGTGCTTCTGCCCAGGGCCCACAACTGAGGGCCGGGCCTAAGCCTTAGGCTTCGTAGCTGTGGGATTTTCGTTTCAGTGCCAGGCCCTGGGCCTCGTTGCACAGAGCCGATCAAGAGTGGTTTGGTTTCTTGGTTGCAAACAACATCGTACATGACTGCATTCTTTCAATCGCAGGATCTGATAGACGTGCATGACAGGTTTGGGTGCTGGAGCAAGCTCCGGATGCAACAAGCTCTGCGGGAGGGGTTCGGGAAAGGGCATTTATATGTGCGACCCATGCGGCCATGGACTTGAGGTTGAACGGCTGAAAAAGTACGACTCCATGTGTGCCGAAGAATTGCTTGAAATAGTAAAAGGCTCGATTCTCAGACTTTTGCTTCAACAGATTTCAAAAAGTTCGCTACTTGCCCTATGTTTTGATGTGTCGCACGAGGATTGAGAACTTATAGCTCCAGCGCCGAGTTCTCAGATTGCGTTGTTCAGTACAATGCACAACAGCATGGCTGTCGACACAGGTGGCTGTCAGGGTCGGCATGGAGTCCCAATAGCAAGGTTTCCAAATCCCGCTAAGGAGCAAGCCGGCAGTGTTCCTGACCCGTGCTTGTACTTCACGCCTCGGACTCAGGCTTTCACAGAGTGTGCATGTGCAACAAGTCCTCACCGCATGATGAAACAGCTGAGGACGGACTCAACCTCCAGGGAGGCAGAGCTGGAATTGCCGAAGTGGCGAGAAGGCAAATATATCGCCTTTGCCTGAGCTCGTTCTGACACAGGGCAGGTTGGAACCACCGCGATTTACAAGCTGGGGCCGGCATGTGCCTGCATTGACGTTTGATCCCGCTCGGCACCGCAAGTGCCAACATAGAGAGAAAGCCCATCATGGTTTGGCATCAGGAAGTACATGAAAGACGGTCACAAGCACAACCCAGAAAGAGCTTGAACCGAAAATGGATCAGGATGATCAAGAAGTCCTGAATCCAGAGAACTCTGCAAAAGCAAGACGTCCAAGGAAACCAGGCAACCAGTCCTCTCACCCCCCTCACTTTTGGTTTTGCAAGACCAAAGAACCATCTTTCAGACATCAGCTGCAGGACTAGGATGCAGGAGGCTTTCGGAGTGTCACGAGCCGACACAGTGACCTGTTGACGGAGGTTGTGAAATTCCTGGATACGCACAAGGACCAAGGCAACATTGACGCGCCTTCGCTGCACAAGCGCAAGAAAGCCTCTGCCGTCATGTGTAGTAGACGCTGGTCGTGCGACCATATTCTGCCTGGCGCTTCGGAGGCATGCGCATAGATGATCATAGATGCGATCAAGAACTATCAACAGTACGTTGATGTACGTTGTCAAGGAATGAGAGTTATATACATGGGGACTTGCATGCGGAGTCGCCGAAATTCTTGCCGCATAACCTGCCTAGGGACTCCTTCAGAAATGCGGGAGGCAAACCATGTAGGCCGTACTTGAGAAAGCAATCACACATGTGAACATGTGTGAACCGAATGTACAGCAGCGGGAAGCAAGCCAATAGTAGTTTCAGTTTCCAATGCTGATTGTCAGATGCATATGGGGTATGGTATGCGGATGCGATGCACGTGAGTGGTGACATGTTGTCCGAAGTGGTCGTCCGGCAAGGTTGGCATTGTGGGGATGATCGGCTACTTCGGCAGGCAGTTTTTTCTTCCCAGTTGTCCCCTAACACCAAGAAGTAGTATTGCAGCATGCAGGCATGCCAAGAAGCAGATCCCCCTTGGCCCATGGATGAAACGAACGGCATTTGTCTCAGAGGGTCCACAGTGCTCGGCTCCTGGAATGGAAAGTCTTGGAATTGATTCCACGCAGTGCAACGGCAGAGACATGCCGGTAACGACCTTGTTTCACTGGTGCATCTCTGATTCAAGGCCCGCCAGGTTTGGGTGCACCCAAACGCACTGAAGAGCATGCCTGCAGCCCCAGCTGCAGATTTGGCCAATTTCGGGCCTAGGTGTTCAGGAATAGGAAGCATCCTTTGCACTGAGGTTCTCCTCTAGTGGATGGGTGTGTGATGGTCGCGATTTCACCGGAGGGTGCCGCAGCGGCAGCGTGCTCGGCTTCTAGCCCTTGGATGCTACCAATACAGCATTTTGTAGCACAGAAGGGCCAAGGACAAAAACGGCCCCAGCGTAGGTGCCGTTGGATTGCAGCCCATGACAGTGCAAGCACAATTGCAGCCCCCAGCCCCAACGCATTCCTGGATTTCTGCTGACGCACTTGCACGTGGTTTTCCTGAGGTCAGACAGACTTTCATCAAACGAATGCAGTGCTCTTGGGAATCTCCAGCTGTGCACGCAGTATTGCAGTGCTTCTTGACTCTGTCGGCAGTTAGCTTCGCATTGACAGGTCTATAGGAACCAGTGTTGTTTTGCTGTAGTTGCCTTTATGTTTTTTCTCGTTGCGCGGACCCAGGAAGCCAGTGAGTGAGTGAACCCCGGTGCCCACAACGACAGCAAAAAAAAACGCACCCCCGCAACGACAGCAAGAAAAAAAACGCGCCCCCGCAACGAAAAACGCGCCTGCGCAACGACAGCAACAGAAAAAACGCGCCCCCGCAACGACAGGAAAAAAAGAAGCGCCCCGAAACGACAGCAAAAAAGCAACGACAGCAAACAAAAAACTCCTACCCAGGTCTATACCGTCACTTTTCGGTGCGCCACGAGCGGCTTTGATCTCTGCGAGAAGTGTGCATATGCCTTCGCCTCAAAGCTTCTCTTCTCTTTTCTTCATGCCAAGTTCCCAGAACAGCAATCGGCATTCATTGAGCAGTCAGCAAAACGCCGGCTTGACTTCGGTGGCATCTTGGCCGTCGGCATGTCAAATTTGTTTGAATGCTAATGACAGATACGCTTCTCGGTCCAAGGATCCAACTCTGGGACACGTCAATGAATCTTCGATTCGATCTGACCTGGAGGCCTCCTTCCCAGAACGCACTAAGTCTTATGCACAGCTTGGCGTGGGAAACCACCCAGGCAAACACATTGCTTGAGGCACTTGCCGATCCCTCACTCTGCAAGCTTGGTGTGTAGCCCTCAGGGTCGCTATGCCAGGTGAATTTGCAAGCTGTGGATTTCGGACGACCGCTGCTTGCATAGTGCATACCAACAGAATAAGCCAATGTGCTAGTGTGCTGGTATGCAACTTCACCAAATCAGAGCACTGCGTCACTGCCGTCTGCAGAGCCCTTTATCTGCTGAGTGTAGCAGCGCAGTGCCGGGCTACTCATCCTCCAACATACGCAATGCAGCCCCCCAAACAAGTGCTCCAAGGCCACTCGATTGCGCAATCTCTGGCGGCGAAATTGGGCCGAAGCGCTGCCCAGGCTTGGATTGATTGACGTCCTTTGACAAGTTGTTGGCAGACTGAGCATGGCTGAGCAATCGTGGCTCGCATTGGCTCGCGTCATGCTTATGAGAAGCAGCCTTGCGTTGATACGTCGAGCCTGCGATGGGTCAGGTACTTCGCGGCGGGCTTGCTCGACAGCTTGGAATCGGACTTACCTTCCCTGCGGCGTTTCATCGACACTTTCCGCTGTGCAGTCTTCAAGGCTGAGTACACGATTTGTGGTCGGTTTGGACACGGGGATGCATTTCCGTCCTTTGACTCCATCGGTCGAACAGAGCCGTCCAGCAAGTTTCTCGAAGGTGTCATGTCATTCACGACCCATTATGCAAGGCCAGGGTCTCCTCAAGCGTTTTGCAAACCGTCTCGAATGTGGACTTGAGAAGTAATCGTCGTCGGCTCCGAATATTGGAAGAGACAGCAGTCAACGCCGCTTTGTTTCGTTTTGATCTCTGATCTTCTCTGGATTGGTTTCTCTCACTCTTGGCGTGAACTGTTGTTGGACTCTTGGCGTGATTTCCAAGCAAGCTGCGAAGGGACATAATTCAGCACATGGAATGGGGAGACTGTGGGACATAATGAGAGCGCTGACATGGCAGTTGTCATTGGTCATTGCATTCAGAAACAGTCAGTAGTCAGTAGTGTCAGTGCTGCGTCACTTGTGCGATCGTGTGCAACAGCAAGTTACTAGCTGAAAGATCCCGGGCCGTCAGCGTGAGGTCCAGGCTCTGCAGAAGTGCCTCGTTGAGGGGCAGAGGCCAGAGGAGGAACGAGCCCGGCTCTCAGGTCCCTTCAAGGGCACAGCTATGCCTGGACATGCTTTTGACCACGGGCACGGGCGAGCATGGCCTGATGCGTTGAGCACCTGCAGCCTCTGGGATCAGGCCTGATGGCTCGGACTCACGCGAACCCCATTTTACCCGGACTGCTCGAATTCGCTACAGCCACTATTCTCCAGCATGCCCCGCGTTGCGTGGCAAGCTGTCATTTCAGTGGCTTAGTCGCGGAGTGTAGGCATTCAAGCTTCTTGGAGTTCCGACAAAATCGAAAGCTTTTGGATGATTGGGCAATCAAGGCGGGGCTGATGAACCTCGTGACTGCTGCCTTGGTTGAAAACGCGATGGACGAAGATCGAAGTGGCTTGTTGGCATTCGCCTAGCCGCAGACAGAAGTCTCGAACGCCCATTCACAAATGCAGTGGCTGCACTGGGAGGCACGTTTGCAAGCATGTCAGTCAGCATTTGGTTAGCAGTCTTGTTGGCTGATGTCCTTCTCGAAGTATCTAGCAGCCTCAGCTCGTCAGACATGCTTGTGGGCGACCATACCATGGCTTGTTGACGCTTGTCCAACTTGTCCAGCTCGGCTTGCGGGCCGGATGTTCGCGTGCATACTGAGCTGCGAACGTCACATTGTTTGGTTTACTTTGCAACACCCTTTCCCTGTTTGTGCCGACAGCAGTAACTGGCTTGGAGCCACACGAACTGAGGCATCGTCACAGTCATTGCTCCTTCCGAAAAAGTGGGTCTTTGCATGAGAGACACCCAGAGATCCGTCCGCGCAGTCTCGTGGCACAGATTTGAGCATAACTTGTTGATGCTTGCAGGCTTTTTCCTCTAGCTGACCAAACGGGGCAACGAATACTAAATGATGAACTACGCACAAATCAATCCAAGTGTGCGAACCGTGAGCTAATCTGCAAAGATGGTGAATAAAGCCACTGCATTGGGTAAAACGACTTACTCGGTAACTTCCACGGACTGAATCGCGAACCACAGTTGAATCTCTTACGACATGCACTGAAACGGCAGCGGGATCCGGGGGTTCGCGAAGAGTAGACCCTGGAGACGTTGCTGGTCGCAGTGGCTTGTTTCTGCGGCAAGCCACCCACGCCTCAGCCGATCTTCGTGAACCGATGCTTGAGGGCCTACCCTGAATCACCGGTTGCGGTTCGTGATTCGGCGTGCTTGGTTATCGACGTTGGATGTTTCAACGTGTAATTACAGCCAAAAACAAGTACACGTGGGAATGAGCAACGCAAGACCCAGACAATGTCAAATGCATGCAGCTAGGGCATTCACTGCATGGTTTTCAACTGTTGTATTCTCCCATGGCTCCTGCAGTATTGGGCAAGCGGAGACTGCATGGACGGCGGGGGGCAACAGGTGACATCAGATCGCTCAAACGCAGCTTTCGTTGCACCGAACTCTTCCCAGGCTCCGTCCCTGTTGATGATGAGCCAGCGCTTGCAGAGGACATGTTTCAGGTGGTAATCGCATTGTGAAGTCACCTCGCAACATTCGCAACCATGCTGCAAGCTCCAATCGGAAGGACGGCTCCGCCAAACTCCACTGACAAGCCGTTTGGCAATGATGTGTCCTCGTTTTCCCACCGTACGTTCAATGTTCTGTTTGCGACTTCCCTGATAAGGTTAGCGAATGCATCAGACGACAAGATGCCATCCCAGACAGCCAGCGATGATCTCGCAGCTTGTTTGAACGCAGCGGTCGTCCCATGGTGAGGTGGGAAAGTGAACAGGGCACGAGCCAGGCGCAGCAAAGGACGTCGCTTGCCCACCGAATGCTTGAGGCACATGGCCCGAACAGCAACAGATCACGACAGAACAACACCAATATCAAGACATATCAAGACCAACAGCAATAACAGCAGCGGCAGCAGCTGCAGTAGCAAACAGAAGCAAGCAGCAAGCACCACCAGCCATCAGCCGCCAGCGACCAGCAATCAACAAACCAACGAACAACGTACAGTAGTCAGCAAGCAACACGCAGCAAACAACCAACACCATTCAGCACGGAACACACATCAACGACCAACATTCAACAACCAGCACAGCAAACAAGCATCAAACACACAGGCAACATCACCACCACCAACCACAACAATGACAACAGCAACAACAACAACAACAACTACAGCAACTACAATACCAACAGCAACGTCAAGCAGCAAGCAGCATCAGCAATCGGCAGCCAGCAGCCAACAGCCAGCGACCGACAACCAACAGCCCACCACAACCACAACGATAACAGCAAAAGCAGCAGCCATGTTGAACTATCGGCTCATCGCTCAAACTGCCTGAACAAGGGACGGCAGAGTCGCGCTCGCAGTTCAGCAAATGCGGAGCGGTGTGGCACATCTTTGTGGATTGCTCTGGCATGCTTTCTGGACGCTTCTTGATTCGAGCGACACAAAAAAGGCAGGTCACGACACCGCGTAAGGTCTTTCTCGGGGCAACTGTGCCTTGTGTCTTACACTCGGCTATGGATGTATAAGTTCATGATAAGTCAACGGGTGACATTCACGAGACTCAAGCAGGCACAGACATTGCAAGATGCACTGCAGTGGGAGATGCAGCAAATCGAGAAATCACTGGGCAAAGATGGTGACTCGGCTGGTGGTTTTTGCTTTGGTACACGGGTCTCTTAGACTGTTCTTTTCTCGTACGGGGTACGCGCCTTAGTGTAACAAGTTATTCGGCTTGGAATATACTGTAGAATTAGAACAGAGGTGCCCAGTGGCAGCAGATGCCAGCAGCATCTTGATTTTGTTGTTTTCCTCAGATCATATAACCGGTACGAGTAGCAGTCACTTTGTCTCGTAGTACTACTAGTACCAGCTGAGTACCCGCAAGACTTGGCAGTCATGGTACCATTTGGGGTTCATGATGGGCTGAGGAACGAAAACATGACAGTCGCAGCTTGCAGTGGGGTAGGGTGTCGGGATGTTGCAGCGCTTTCTTGTGCGGGGGGCGCAGCTGCGGCTGGTAGTTGAGTACAGCCTACTGACCCCGTCGCATGGTGCCCAATGGAGACTGTTTCAACCGTTGACTACGGCAGAATACGTTCAACAAAAATCCCAATTGAGGCATCTTAAGCACATTTAAGCACTCCTAGGAGGCGAATCCGACTGAACAGTTCTGTGATTAGTCAATCAAAATTATCGTCATGGAGGTGTAGTTCATGTGTCAATCGACCATTGCAGCAGGCGTCACCAAACTCGGCGCTCAACCCGGCCGGGCCACTTGGCTTAATTCTTTGCTTTTTGCATGTGCGAATGAGTCAGAGCTGCTGGCTGACAAAATGCAGGAGCTGCACATAGACGTGCTAGGTGGATGCATGCCGGGATTCTACGCAGAGCCCAGGTCATGGGAGTGGCACTAAATGGTAAGGATGACATCCGCATGCTGCAGAGTGCATTGATGATTGGCGTCGCTGGTGTCTTGACGCTTGCAAAGGTGCCGGTTGATGGAAGCACATATAAGCACATCTGGTACAGTTCAATGTCAAGCTTCGCATGAACAGGGAGTCTTGAAGCAGGTCTTTTCGCTGCTTCGTAGACTTCGCCCTGAAGTTTACATCAAGGAGGCCGGGCCTCAAAGTCGGAGCGCCGGCATGGCTTTGACATCTCTATGCAGGCAGACTTGGAGATTGAAGCTGTGACGGACACAGATGCATCCCCTCGCACAGCCCCAAGGCGAGAGCTGCAGAATGCCTTTTTTTGTCGCATGTAGACCTGTCGAAAGCCGCGATGGTCCTGAGCCGGTCAGAAGCTGATTGTCCAGATGTGCCTTCTCTGCAGGCGCTTTGCCAATCCGAAGCTTGGCCACGCTGAGAGTTGGCAGTGAGTTGGGTCAGTGCTGCTTCGCTTTGCTTATCACAAAAGTGCCAGCAGCTCAGGCATGTCGGCCTGTTCGATTGGGTATCGAAGGTTTGGCAGACAACACCAGAAGATGAGGTGACGTACTGTAGTTTGCTTCATTGTGACGTAAAATTGCTGAGCTGAGGTGAAGCAGGCCGGCTTGGACGGCTGGGCTTTTCTGGAATTTCGCCGGCTGAACTGGCGGATCTTTTCCGTGATAGGCTGGCGCTTTTTTTGCGTTTTCTGTGCGCGAAGAGAAGGCTGCGACACACAGGCCCGGTGCTGTGCGCAGTATTGTTGCCTCTGCACTACGAGGCACGGGGAAGGGTGCAAGCCTACAGGTTTCCAGGCGTTTCAAGGTGTCACGGGACAGGTAACTTATACGTCCTAACTACAGGACACAGCCTTGACATGCACCTCGGGCCCTCACCTCGGGCGGAAACCTATGGGAAAGACCTTTCAGGCGCACCGGGATGCAGAATACGAGCTGGATTTACTCAGCAAGTTCGACATTGGTAGAGACCCGCTTCCGGACTGGATGTTGTGGGCATCTCGGCCCCAAAATCGTGCGTGTGGCTGCAACCACTTTAGCTCCCCTTGGGCCTATCATCCCTCCTGTTTTGAGGTCCACGCCGCGATGGTTTGGTTTGTAGTCTGCGTTAGCGCATGGACTATAACTCGCACGCAGGACTGGGACTCTTGCGTCGTGGATCGTCCTGATGTGATTCGTGCACGGACTCGTTCAGGGCAGTTTCAAATCTGTCCGGTTGTTTTTAACACGACGGTGGGGGCGCAGCCCTTGGATTGGGTGAGAGTGGGTCGGTTGGCGGGTGTACAGGTCAATGACAGAAACGCTTTGGTGGGCAGAGCCCAGCGGCAACTTGTTGTGACTTGGTTGAGTTCTGTCAACGGTTTCGCCGGACGTCTTGCCGCGGCTGACCGGCTCTGTTACGGGAAGGACAGTTTCAACAGGTGTAAATCTCCTTGCCTGCGATACGCGTCCGCTGCAGCACGCGCCTTGTTTCCTCTGTCATGGACGTAGTTTCGTTTCATTTATGCATATTTACGCCCCTGTACTGTGCTGTGTAGTCCCGGGACGTTTGTTCCAGGGTTGGGTGCTAGACGAACGGTGGATTCGGCACCTTTCGAGGTCGGACCCTGTGACAGGCGTGGCTGTCCAGTTTGGGCTCGGAGTAGCTGCGTTATGCGGTTGACAAGTCCAGGACAAAAGATTCTTGCCGTTTGTTGCTGACAGCTCCAGCAGGAACATTTCACCGAGCGCCGCTATCAGTGGCTGAAGGACGGTGCGTGTGGGCTGAAAGCAGGAAAGCATGTCAGTGTCCACCTTCGCAATTTTGCAGTGCAGTAGGTGGTCAAGTTGAGACGACGTGTCAGAGGAAATCCCATTCCCACGGGCGAAGACTGTTCTCATCAGGACGGGAAATGCTTCTTCTGCATTGGGGCACGTCTCGCAGTCGCGACATAGCCGCGTAGCCCAAGTCCTACGTCTCAAGGGCTGCAGGCAGATGCAGGCAGGAGTGTCTCAAGTCTAACGTTTGGACACCGTGAGCTGCCGAGCCGGCCGGGCAGTAGAGATCTGCAGCCAAACCATGCCGAACCTTCTTGTCAGTATCACGTGTCAGCCAATTGTTCCTGAGATTTGCTGTCGCCAGTTTGGCACGCGATTTGCAGGAACATTCCCTCCCGGTATCGGTCGGATGCAGCTCTGAAGCAGTATTTCGTTAACCTCTTCAGCGAAGAGGTGATCGAGCGCGCTTATGTCGTTCGTCACACAGGTGCGCTTGGGATCGTGAGGATTTAGCCCACTGTCCAGACCGAGTATCAGCTTGCGCACAATGATTTTGCTGCTGCCGTTGGCCATTTATAGCCCCACCCACGCACTAGTGTCATCGTAACTGTCGACCAGCCTGCCCAGAATTGCATTCTGCGTTTAGGAATACGGCCCCTGGTACTATACTTGCAGTACCCATTCCTTGCCTGCAGGACGCCTGACATACCAGGCCATCATGCGCCTGTCGCTTTGTTGGGCACCCTGCGATTCAACGTCAGACCAAACAAAGACTCCGCGCAGGTGGCAGCATTGAAGCAAGCACGCCTGGACTTGCTCCATGCGAAACAGCACTGGGAGGCGCACTATAGTCCCACTACATCAAAGTTGAATTCTGGTCATTTCCGCAGCTCTTCCTGGTACAGAGGAAGCTGGGCGTCCGGATCGGGCCTCCTCAGAGAGTCTTCGGTTGGAGCACTGCGAGAAGTGCCGAGGTTTGAATACAAAATTCGGTGTCCATGTGAAGCCCGCCGTTTGAAGTAATTCCTTCATCCATGCATGGCGTGCCGAACAAATTTTCGTCAGCAGGAAGCTGTTCACAGCCCCCAAGGCGTGAACAGACGCTGACGCAGGAGGTCACGCAAGCACAAGCAAGGCTGGACGAGGGAGTCGCACGAGGACCCATGGCTTGCAGGCGAATAAACAATGAAACCATGCCTGTTACCTGCAGATACCTGCAGGAGGCTTGATGTCAGCGTGCAGGTAGACATGAAACCGGGATGCAAATCTATCACAAGTGGAGCCTCTTTACAGGCATGGTACCTGCTAGGAAAGGTCGTCGTTGGAGCTCAACAGAGCTTGCCTTGTCATTGTGTGGTTCTCACTCAAACCTGCACCTTCACCACGACCACGAGTAGGGAAACAGGGTTGGAGGCCTGCACTTTTTTGTTCGTGCGTGCGTGTGCAAGTGTGCTTTGGTTGCTGCTGTATTCAACCGCAAAGCGAAAGATGACACAAGCGTTGCCTTTACAACTTCAGTGGCTACGCAAGAAGCAAACATTCCCGTGCATGTCGTCTTCGTCCTGTCGAGCCTGATGCTGTCGGAGGCAAGGAGGCAACAGCCTCTCCTGCTGGCTCGTTGAATGTCGACTGCCTTATTTCCGTTCAGTCGTTTGTTTACGGATGTGTGTGTGCCCGTGCCTGTCCCTCAAGCCCTCCGAAGGCTAAGAGACTGAGAGTGACTGTGACAGCGGCATGCGCAGAACTTAAGGCAGCATATGCCATGAAAGTACTCACGCACATACTATATATATATATATATACATACAGATGATTACAGATGTACAATATTCAAAAATGTAGATGTATTATGTGATCTCTATACATATATATATATATATATATACATACATACATACGCACATAGATACACATACACGTACACCCTTACATACATACATAGACATGAACACATAGACACACAATGATTATGATGCCGCCCCGATGTGCATAGTGTTTAGACAGGTGATCGACACATTATCCCCTATGTAGCTTCCCTTGTTTAACCTGCGCTATTCGAGAGCGCAGCAGTTTTCGTTCGCAAGAAGTGGTGCGATGGCTGCCCTGCCGAATCCAAAGATCGAATATTTTCGCGGGCATGCTCGAACCAACCTTGGTTTGTTGGCATGCTTCCCAGGCTACGCGGCTTGTGCAGAGGGTTCGGTGTGTGAGATTTTGCGGTCTCGTTGCGAATCACGAGGGAGCGTCAATTTGCGCAAACCTTTTGCAATATGTTGGGGTATGGTGTTTCCAAGAGCTGGGACTTCATAGAGTGTGTACGTAGTCGTCGAATGTCGGTCTCTGACCCAACTTCTAGTCATGAGCTGCTGGCTAATTGCAAAAAATACTTTCGCGACACATTTGTTTATGCTTCTACTCGGTGTCATGTACAAGTCTGGCAAGATTGGATTTGTACTTAATTCATTAATTCATGTAAAGCACCCTCAAGCAAACATTCCGTATTCCTCTTCTTCGGCCCCCGTCATCGCCGGAACCGCTGGCGGTCTTCCATTAATAATTGCACGGGCTAGGGCTAGGGATGCCTCGGTAGATGCATGGGACGCGCCTTTCTTGAAGAGATTGCTAGAGTAGCATCCTTGTATCTGCTGCCGACCTCCCTAGCCGGCCCCTGAGACTTTACCTCTGATCAGCACCCTCTTACGGAGAAGACAAAAAGGTGCGTGCCCTCTGAGTCTATGAAACTGACGCCGTGTTAGATAGTGCTCTGGGCGTCATGACCGGTGTAGTGCCGTGGCCAAGTACAACTTGGAATTCCCAATAGCCTGCCGGAAAAGACCGCAAGAGAGGACGCCAGAAAGTGAGATTCCACACTAGGCACTAGCTTGTCGGAAAGCAGAAACCGAAAAACATGAAAGAATTCGACAACGGCTCAGGAAAACGAGCCTCACATGACAAGTTGCATTTTATCAGAGCTTGCTAGCCTACCGGAAATTCAGCCTTGACGAAAACCAATTCCCCAATAGCTTGATTGAGACCGAAACGTGACAAGAGACTTGACGATTGCAAGTCCTCAATAGCCTGCTGGAGAGGGACGAAAACCAATTCCCCAATAGCTTGATTGAGACCGAAACTTGACAAGAGACTTGACGATTGCAAGTCCTCAATAGCCTGCTGGAGAGAGAAACCTGACAAAATGCAGTTTCCCGGTTGCTGCGGACCCTACATTGCCCTACATATGTAGCAATGTAGCCAAAAGCAAGACAGCCAACAGACCCACATAAAAAGTACAAAACAATCCCGATCGAATCTTGATTCAAAACAAACGCACACGACATTGTATCAACAACTATGAACAATAGCGCACATATTGATATATGTAAATATGCGTGTATATATATAAATATATATATATATATATATATGTATACAGATATTTTTGCAATCGCATTATGTACTCAGGGAAGAGCGGGAACCGCACCAATTTTTACGCTCAGATGCAGCTCTAGTAGGGTGACTAGATAGGGGCTGGTCATGAAGCGAAATCGATGGTTTACGAGTCGGTAAGACATGATGAGGTATTTCAATACTTTTTTCTTCTGCAGCCGTAGAACAGCGGCGGGTCGACAAAGAAGCGCAGGCCTCTGCGGACAAGATGTGGACGTGGCTTTCGTTTCCGTTTGTTTGTCATTTCAGCAGAAACCGCAAGTTCGCTGGTGTTTATGGGAAGGGTCTTGTTTGTCCCATTCGAGTGACCGAAAAATTCAACATGACCCGGCCCTAAACTTACGCGATCTAAACGTAATCCAGATTGTTAAGTTTGTCGGCTTTGGAAAGCAGAGGCCCATTTTGGCATAACGACCATTACTTTTAAAAGTCATACTCGCATGTAAGGAAGCAGCGTCAACAGCGAAAATAACTGGAAGTCGCAGTCATAGACCTGACTTAGGACCTGAGCCTCATTCACAATGTCTTAAACTCAGGTGCGTGCTGACTTGAAAGCCCACGTCTCGAAGTTAAGCTCCACATGCTCCACAATTTCAGATTGCTCGACTTCCTCCATTCCACCCCACGACTACGAATTCTTCAACGTGCGTTTCTGCTCAGTTCTAATTTTAATCTATATCGAACGAGATCTGTAAATGTCCAGAACATGAACGAAGCGAGTCAGAATGTCCTTTTTGCATTAATGTTTGCACGCGTATTTAAATCTACTTGGAGGGTTGTGACGGCAGGACATCCTAAAAAGGTTGAGAGAGAGCCTGCTCCCCAGGAGATCCCGTTGTATGTTCTTCCACTGGCTTTGTCACGTTTACCAGCGAGCTTTCGCAGCGGCTTGCTTCTCGGGACAGCTTGCGCACCATCAATGTTTGCCTTTCCGTTTCTGCCGGTTGCGCCGTGCGGCTGTCAGGAGCAGTATACACGAGATGTCACAGACTTCAGCATGACAACAGCTCCGGATCCCAATGATCTGATGCATGGCTGGATAGCTCGATTGTGAGGAGACAAGGTCTTGCGTACAATAATGCGTGGTCTGACCAATCGAGGATTTATGCCAATCTTGCAGCCCCGTGGCAGCGATTGGTAGAACTTGCTTTGGTTTCAATCAAAGTTTCAGGCTGGGCTGCTTGTCCAAAGCAACCCTACAAAATAAATAAACATATATATATATATATATATACATATTTATTTATTTATTTACATACATTTACACACCTTCGAAGCCTGCAGGATTCCTCCTACGTGTTTGGAGTTCGGGATCTTATGTCGAGGGCCAGAAGATCGAAGTTTTGTCCCGAAGTTAAGGGAAAACCGTAAACAGAACGGTGCAACGCGGAGTACGTGGCTAAGCCCAGCTTTGCACGAAAGGGGGTGTGCCTCCTTTGATGTACCAGACCAGCTGCCTGTAAGAATTTAGTGGAAGTTGGTGGCCACGTTAGTGGACTCTGGACTGCCTGTTGTGGCAATACGACGGCCAGCGTCAGCATCATGGCACAGCTGGAGGAAGAAGAGATGAATTCTGCTGGATGGAATTGGGCCGGCTTGGCCGCTATATGGGGAGTCCACGACCCAGCAGATTCCGTTCTGACCTTTGCTTTGAAGGCCTTGTGCCACGATGTCAAAGATCGATTCGCCGGGAGGTCTTTACGCTGTGGGTGCCCTTCGTAGTTCTTATCTCGAGCACGGTACTCGGACCAGAGCTGGGGCTGAGAAATTCAGGGCCCCAACACCGACCGCACATGGCATAGAAGTGCGCCTGTGTCTCTGTGTGCAAAGAGGCTGGACAACCTTCGGCGCGGTGCAGGAGATGCTCCCAACTTTGAAGGACCGCCGAACAAAAGTTTTTGGAAAACACATCCTGACATGGCCAGCTGCGAACAAGAGCTGTAAGTGTGGCCAAGAGATTCATCGAGGCATTGGGGTCCGGGGTGCGTGCCAGGAATTCTCTGGTTTGGTTGGTTTGCACGGAGTCGCATTGGTGGAATGCATAAGGCTGGGGCTACTTCTCAGGGTGGGCTGGCCTGAAAGCCTCGCATACTGCACTTGCAAAGCTATCAAATAGCTGGCAGACTCTGGCCGTCGCACCCGTAAAACTCGAAGATTTTTCAAGCCATCCGAAACCGTGACACCTGAACTTTGCAAAGTCGTGCACACCGTTTTGAACACTTCAAGGAGCTTGTGCAGCGGCACATGTGGCTGGAATCTCAATCGCATCAAAGAGGCCTTGCGGTGGCCTAAGCCACTAGTCACTATCATTCCCCGGTAGTAGCAAAAGCAGCCATATCAGGGTTTGATTTGGGCAAGAAATGAAATCCTCGGGAGTATTTGGATTGGGGTCGGGGATGGGGTCGACCAGCCACATCCCAGACAACAGCGCTATGAGCCACTGAGCGAGTTGTGAGAGTCGAATGTAGAGGAAGTCACGCTGGTTGCTGGCAGCTTTGTTGAGCTGGGCTTGGCAGAGAGTCCAGCTGAAAAGTCACTAAACTAAACCCCTTTGAAGCAGATCTGGAGGCCTTCCTCATTAACCCTTCAATGCTTAAATCAGCCCTAGACCCCACCCTGCAGTACCCCGCCTCCTGCAGTGCGATTACTAATGTTGCTGACAAGTGTATCGTCCTGTATTCGTGGTGACGACGAATACTAGCACTAGTTGTTGCCGTTGGCTGCAAGTACGAGCCAGGGTCTGAGCTTTTGGGAAGTAACTACGCGTGGCGAGGAATTGGGACACAAAAACCTCGATGCATGCTTTCTGGGTTTCTGCCCAAGGACAAGCTGCTGACAGGAGTCTTTGCGACTATTGCACTGAAGGCACGGTTGCAGTGCATGGCTGTGCATCGGTCATGGGAGTTTGGCCTGCTCCAAGGTGTTTCTTGCCTTTTTGCCATCTGCAATGTACGTCATCATCCGAACCGTGATGAGCGTGAAGTCGGGGACGGAGGCCATCGGCTAAAAGCTGGTTCCTCCTCGATCCCTCGGTGTTCAGTCAATAACATAATCCTCAATGTTACGTGAAGAATGCCAATTCGAAGGTGCAGATCAAGATGCAGAGTTTTGGATGCAAAGAGTGGTGACCTGAAGTCAGCAAGGTCGGAAACCATTGTGAAGCGATCTATTCGGGAATTCCGTTTGGCTACACCAAATCCCAAGCGCGCATGTCGACCTTTCACAACACTTTCCATCCCTGGCACACCCCTTGTGTCGCCTCATTCTTCTCCCGAAGATAAGCATCACAAAAAGAACAAACAGACAAGCAGACACCAAACGACTCCCGAGGAGTAGTGCCACCAAGTTGCAGGACACGCAAACAACGCCTGCCTTGCCGCCAGAAACAGGATAGCGTTGTGAAAGCAACTGGGCGACGTATGTAGGGGAGGGGCTGTTGCGGAAAGGTGAGTGTTTGGTGAAGTGCATCTTTTCGGCACCTGCTGGCATGGCAGCACGGATGCCCTGGCATCGATGTCTACTCCTGCGTGTCAAGATGGATGAATTCGCACAACACGTGTGGCAGCCTTGCAGCTGAAGGTTTGGGGATGAACAGAAACATGCTGTTTATGCGAGGAGGCTACAAGTAGCAGCTAGCATGGCACGGTGGATGGCAAGGAGGCAACATAAAAGCTATCCCGTGCGCACCTTTTTCGGTGCCGGTGTGGCGAAATCCGTATAGTTGCTTAGCCAAGGAAATGGTACGGTCTTTTCCTCGCATCTCGGGTGCATGCGAGTAGTTGTGCAGAGCATGCTTGCTTGTCATCTTTCTACATCATACGTTGTGGACGCCGGCGCTATCTGGCCTGCGAATGCTCAGTTGGTGTAGTTGAGGTAACGTTTGTCCTGCACCTCGGCCATACTTGATATCTGTAGGAAGGCCGTTGAGTGTTGATTTGGATAAATGTTGTCTATTAATACATGGATACGCAGGCTTTCTGAGTTGGGGCTCAGGGCTTTGGTTCTGCGCAAGAATGCAGAAGGCGCAGGTGCAGCAGGCAACGGAACGTAGTGGTGCCTCAAACAGCTGGACACAGAACCGGGGCCCGCTATTTGCAATCTACAGCCTGGCAAGGAGTAGCTGGGTACTGTGGCCCCTTGAGACGTTTGCTAGAAGCTTTTATTTATGTATTCTGTAGCTCTCCTGTTGCATTGGAATTGGTCGCTAAGTAGTTTCGTTGCAGCTTTGATTTTCACCTCTTCCACATGTCCCAAGCCTGGATATCTCATTCTCTAAGGCATCCCACCTGAAACCTAAATCATCATTTAACGTTTTTACATCAAATGCCATGCCAGCCTGAGCTTTTTCTTCTGGCAATTTCAGATGCAATTTCAAGGCTGGTCACTTCCCTAAGCCGCGGAGTGACCCTGACACTGGCAGCCAACTCAGAGCCTTTTCCAGATGCAAATTCATTTGTTGTGATGTCCTTGGGATTGCCGCACCGAAGGTTAGCGTTGCACAGAAGCCGGGACGCATCTTCCGTATCCTCGCGGATTTCCTGCCATCAGCTAGGAGCCCAGGAGACCCCTTTCGTCCTGCGCCGCCGACACCAAACGGATCTAAAATACAGTGTCTTGACGATCAACCCAACCTTTTAACAGAAATCTCCATAATGATTTTGTTGACCAGAAAAGAGTCAGTCAAACTGCCGCCGAGGCTTCCCATTTCTACTTCAACTATACCGTTCTCGGATGGATCGTTTCCGACCTCAGCTTTTCGGATCCGACTTGTCTCGACCCCCTGCTCCTTGCTGACATCAACGCTCCTCGCTCGCAGGTGCCATTTATGGAGCTGGTCAGAAATGCGAACTTCTGGAAGCCACTCACACCAGCAAGCTGGAAATTCGCACTGGTAATCGTGTGACATGATATGTTTGCTTTTTAGGCTAGTGTCAAGTGTCACCGTGTGTATGGGCCTGCATTCTGCCCGTTCGGTTTTTGCCAGTCAGCAAGCAGGCAGTCGCTTGCACCCCTTTCCTCCGCATCAGGTTCCATCTTTGCAAGTACTTCCTGTCAATGTCGGAGAAGGCCGGCTCCACGGGGGCAACGATGTCATCAAGGTGCAAGCTGTATGCCAGGAGGCGAAGGAGTACAGCGAACCTGAAGATCCAGCAAGCTATGGACCGTGAGCAGACTACGCACGAACGCATGCCGTCTTCAGGAAGTCTCTCTGCGATGCCATGTGCAGGATTTGGAGCTCGGATGGCCTCGTCACTCCTGATCTCTGCAATCACGTTTGCGTTGCTCGGTCGTAGCATCAGCAGAAACACGCGTACATTAGGGAACTGAATTCTGCACGAACATTCAGGTTCTGTTCATGTTCCCCGCTTATTCTGGCATTTTCATTCATATCCTTGAGCCTGTCGCACGCCAGCTACACATATCTCGTCTCTTGGCCGGAGCTGAGCGCCCAGATATGATGCGCAAACAACGAGAACAGACGGAAGAGGGAATGTTCCGGTTCCAAGGTGGTGTACGCTGAGTCGAAAAAACCCGACACTGGTGGCGTTCTGTGGGTCCATGGGATCAGCTACCTGTTCTTGGCACCCCGGCTTTACAGCTGATCCAGCGGACAGTCGCTGTTCCATCACGACTGAAATATCAAGTGCTGGCAGGTGATCCTGATGTACATACTGCTGATGACAGGAGTTCTGCAAATGCTCAGTTCGAGTGGCAAGTGGTTGGGGCCACCTGTGGTCGCCCCTTGGACTTTGCGTGACCAGTGGCGACTAACGGCTTTCAGTCTGGAAGCTTTCCGTGCCGACCTTAAACCAAGATAGGATGGTCCCAGGCACTTGCGTCGACTGTGGCCCTTTATGCAGGAAAACATCGGGCCTGCCGGCTGCAGTAGCGGTAGTGAAGGCAGCGGGACTCTGATTAAAGCTATGTTTCCTGATGCACACACAAAGAGAGAGTTGCAAGATCAAGGTGGACAGCTTGGCTTTTGATGTGCTCCCTCTGGAAGAAGTCGTCAGGACAAGCCAAGACTTGAGCAAGAAACTTTGCTGCACGACATTAAAAGCTGTCTCGCAGCAACAAGCTGTCGTCTCAAGTTGCCTCTACCCTGTATTACCCTGGCGCTCTGTTGGAGCACGTGTTTGGTTTTGGCAGCGTGCATGGCATGGCATGGCATCAGTATCAGCGCAGTTCCCCAGGAAGGCTGTGCGCGAACAGGGCCAGTACGTGCAACTTGGCCCTACTTCCGCAGAGGTCACTCTGCAGACAAAGCTGAATCAAGCCCTTTAGCATGTGATCTGACAGGCCTTCAAACCGCTTTCAAGTGCAAAGGAATTATATGATATTATATGGAGGAAGTAGATGGAAGTGGGGCAGTTCCTTGCAGACCAGCATGGTGCGGGCAATGGCCTGGCTTTGTCCTCGGAGCATTGTAAGATCTGGTCGTAGATGAGACTGAAAGTCGCATTCAGAAGTCTTCTCACTCTGTATCGCTGTATGAGGCAGCCAGAGTGTGACCTTGCTGCCGTCCAGGGCACCAAGTCCTGAGCAGACGCGGCCGCTTGAGATGCCGAGAATCCGAGATACAAGAGCAATTCGTACTGCTGAGCGGCACACAAAAGAAGGGCACTTGCATGCAGCATTCATGTTTCTGTGAGATCAACCGTGAAACAGTCCATGCCCCTTGTGTTTTCACCCATATTTTCTCTGCTCCATCTGTCCGGGACTTTGTCGCGGCTTTTTGGGCTTGCCACAAAGGTGACAGTGCAGCGGCAGCAGCCCGGTGCAGAGAATCAGAAGCGCCAGGTACGCCCACATCCGCCTTGGTTCTCTCATGCAGACAGCATACACAACGCTTTTGTCAAGGCCAGACGTGCCCTCTTGCAGTTGACTACTGCTTCAACCTCAGTCTCTTGAAGTTGATTTCGTGGCAAATCCAAAGTTCCAGATAATGTGGGGAGGTGGACCAGTTAGTCGGTCGCAGGAGCTGACGCAGCGACTCTTGGGCCTTGGCTGTGGTGAGGCCTGGCAGGCACGCTATTGCAGTGCAGTGCCAGTGCAGTGCAGGTGGCTGGTCTTGTGACGAAGGTCTGTGACAGCCTCTTCGTCTCTTCATTGCTTCGAAATTTTTGACAGAACTTGGTCCACATCCCCAACCAACTGCAGACTGCAAATTTCGGAGTGATCGGCAAGCACGGAAGTATATAGAGGTACAGCGGTCTAACTATTACAGTCAGCGGCGTAAACCCAAACACCGGAGGCTTCGAACCCGAAGATAGCGCAAAACCCACCACAGACTTCGAGAAAAGATCTTCTGGAGAATCCCGTTAAGAAACAGCTTGATGTCAGACAAGATTCATGTGAAGTGTTTCTGCAAAAAACTCTGCAAAGTGTTCCGCAGATTGAGACTGGAGACCCCGTGTCACAAGCAAACGCTGTGGCAGTGTCTGTGGCACTGTGGGAGGGGGCGGGAGTGCAGAGGCATGCATCTGCAGGCACGAGGAGGCAAACTCAATGATGCTTCAACCATGCCGGCACGGCATCGGTTTGCAACATGCACTTGACAATGTCACACACTATCACACACCTACTTGCATGACCATGAGCCCTGTAGTAAATGCAATCAAGCAGATGTCGAGGCTTCAAACGATCTTGTGTGGGCCATTCGCACGGAGTCGGAGGGACAAGAACAATGGGACGAAGGAAGAGTGGCCGTGGACCTGACTTCGTTGTGGGAGCCACTGGAATTGCGCAGTGGCTGCTTGCCGGATTTTCTGAGGTGCAAATGCCAAAATCAATGCCTGACTGTCTGAGTTCCAAGCCTCTGCCGCCACCCAGGAATGTGCCGGGCTCAGCTTGTGAACACCGCGAAAGGGTTGCACGCACTACAGAAACAGACAGACAGAGACAGACAGACATGCAGACAGACAGAGGCTCAAGGCTCAAGGGGCATGCCTGCATAAGTAGTTGGAGCGCGGCTTCAATGCGGCTTCAATAGCTCAAAGGGGTGTCAAGGCTGGGAAAGAGATCCGGCTGTGTCTCGGGGCTCGGATGCCCCCACACTCCGTCATAGTCACACTAGATCCCACTAGACGAAACCCACTTGAGAGGCGGCGCAGCGAGCCACAACTCTTGCGTTCCAAGCTAAAACATTCTACCGGGACACGGTCCAGCTGACCATCCCGGACAACCTTCACTCTGCGTGAGGGTTTGTGTCCACCGGAGGTTCGAGATTAGCCGACCCCAGCAACATAGTGAAGTGCGCCGGCGTTGGCTGAGAGGGAGACTGCCTCCGAGCAGCGACAGTGATGGTGAACAGAGTGAACTAATCGGGACATGTTTCAGTGAAGTTGTCCCTGATTCCAATACCTAGTGCATGCAGTGGCGAAGTTTCGGGCGTAATGCGCAGCTGGAAACTCACCCAAACCCCCCGACCTGGCGGCAGCAATCGCAAGTGATGTGACAAGCCTTGCACCAACAGTTCTGAGAAGTCGATGCGACAGTGTGCCGCCCGCGGGGTCATCAACCGCATTCGGGATACCTTGAGGCCACGAGTTCTTTCCAGTCAAACCGAGACCTGATCGAAAGCTTTGCATGTTTTCCTCGAAGTCCCGTCGTCAATTCATTGATTTTGCCAGGCGTTTCATGGACCGAAGGCTTTACTTTAAGCCCTGTTTGCCAGACTAACACGAAGAAGACACGGTGCAAGCTTAAAGCAGCTTAGAGGATGGGATGCGGAGGGGGTCAGCTTCTGCTTTGATGTTGCTTCTACTCGCTACTGCAGACGGCAGCTAGAGCAGATAGCTGGGGACGTGGGGGAGAGCAACATGTCATATGTTTACCTGCATACGGACACGGACACAGAGCGACAGATGCTGTGGTTTGACGCGTAGGATGTTACAGGAAAGCCTGCAGCATCTGCGCAACCAAACAACGTCGGATACTGTAGCCAAAGAAGAGTTATTGCGCAAGATGAATTCCAATACTGTCGCACGTGACACGCACGACTGCGAAACAAACGGTTTCTACGAGGCACTTGCAGCGGCTGTCGCTGGCGCCGGCTGCTGCCCAAGAAAGACTGGTACCATCATGGCGATGGCAACGCAGAGACGGCTTGACAATGAGGCGGTGGCGAATCGGGTGAGGCCAGTCCAGCCCCGTCCAGCCCCATTTGTCATTTGCGGTCCCACTTTGTCATGCAAGAAAGGCTGCACAGAACGAAGGAGGAGGCCGGAACTAGCACAAGGTCAAAGAGACAACCACACTGTTTTAATGTTTGGTCAGGTGAGGGTGGAGATGCGACGACGGCTGCAGGAGGCCCCTGACCCAAAATGTCGATTCTACCTTCAGGAAGTCTCCAAGCATCTTTTTTGGTCAGCTCACGCCTCGGACCGCGGACCGAGGCGCGGCTCCTGAAGCGACAGACCCGGGCGGCGAGGCTTTCGTGCGTCACGGGGTGTACTGGTAGCCTTGTTGGACTTTTTTTCGGTGGTTCACATGTCGTTATGTCGACACAGCATCCGCGGGCTCGAGCACGTCCAATGGCTACCTGAAACTGACGGTGCTTTTCTTTCTTTAAAGGCAGAAGCGCCATCAGACCCGGCGGCCTCGAAGGATTCCACGTCGCAAGAGGCATGGCCTGCAGCACAGGTTCTGAATGTACCGTGGCTGTCTGGTAGACCTGGTCCTTCAGGGCTGCTACCTCATATCATGGAGAGACGGGCAGGCTCCGAGCTGGGTTTGGAGCCGAACTGCTTTGCTGTTCTAGAGCCGATGGCTTGCCAGGCTTGTGGCTCCATCTTGTTTGCATGTCCTGTTCCAGTAAGGTTCATGCTCAGCATGTTTGGCGGATGGTTGCCGATGAGGACGCCCGAACCGCAGGAAGTCCAGTCTTGTCTGCTGTGCAAACGCAAACTTCTTGAAGTCATGCTGCGGGCAGCCCAGCAGCTTAGTTACACCCGGAAGTCAAGTGCATCAACAATTCAACGGTCAACAAGACTAACCGTTGCCGACTTTTCGGACTTTTTGGACTTTCGGCTGTTACTTCGGCACCCTTCGCATGATGTTGCTTTTTCTGCGCCCTTGAGAGTGCTAGCGGGAGTACCACGACATGTTCAGCCTCTCGAACCTTGTTGTAGCAGGCCTGCTTGACTTTTCCGTATGTTGGATGCTTTTTGGAACTTATTCACCTGTTGGGGCTTTTCTACTTTTCGTGGCTTATCATGACTGTTAGACTTTAGACTTTTCTTTTTTCGGTGGGATTTCCGACTGTTCAATTGTCAATTCCACTTTCAAGGTTTGCATGCCCCGCCAGCGGTCATTCCAACACCGCACCCAGGATGTAAAGCTTTTCAACAGCAGTGTGCGGGCCACAAGTGTGAGAAGTCCTAACATTTCTCGATTGCTGAGGTCATGATTGCGACTGCGGGCATGTTTCTCGAAGTCTCCAAGGGTGCGACGTGTGACACTTCCAGGCTGCAGGAGTCCCAGTTCACAGTCAGCCAGGCTTGCGATGTTGCCGAGATAATTCACGTTTTTGCAGGTTTACTGCAGTCTTCCTTTCAAGCTTCAGCAGGTCCAAACTGCTGCAGCAAGGCGCTGACCTCCAGGCAATTGAGTGCTGGCATGTTGCAGATCTCTCATGTGCACAGCCATTCCGATGTTTTGCGGACGTACTAGAGCGCTTTGGCAGGCGTTGAACGGTGAAGGGTGCACGGTGCTGCTCCTGGCCGTGCGAGCCGAGGCAACATCCCAGTCGATTGTTTGCCTGCAGTGTCGGTGCAAAGACAACGGACACCGGTTGCGCCAGCTCCCCCACACCGCCGGCTTAGCCACTAGTCGAGCCTGTCTTTTCGGAGCTTGGAGTTTGAGGTGGCTGTGCTGGCAGTGATAATTTAAGTATCGGTTTTGGTTGCGGTAAGGTTGTGGTTGTTGCTGGTTGTTGGCTCCTGTCTTTGACGTGTTCCAGCACCTATTCGGACCAATTCCATCAGCCCGGGCTGCGATGAATGAGATGTTGATGTTTTTTCCGTCCCTCCATCGATGTGGACCTGGACCTTCCAAGAAAGCAAACCCAGCAAGCTGTACCAGAGGAGGCTTGGTTCTGTGAATGCAGCTTTTCACCTCGGTCCCAGCAGTCGCCTTCGGCTTCTTGAAAAGGTGCCGGTGGAAGTCTTCAATGTGCCTGTCTCAGACACCGCTTGCAACAGGCGGCTTGAAGTTCCCAGTTCTTGAGTCCTGGCCGTGCCCTCATCAGAACACCCGATCAGCTTTGACCAATCCGCTGACGGCATCTTTGGCTCCAGCTCAACCAGCCAAACTTTCAATGCGATGTACTAACTAAGCTTTAAAACTATTCACAATGACCTAGTTCTTGATTGTCCGGGCTTCGATACATGGGCGAGCATGCACTAGTCTGGATACATGTAAGGATGCCAGTGAGATGCGCCTTGGTCCCTAAACTGTAGACAGGCCCTGATCTGCAACAGGAGTTTTCGGGGGAGCGCGCATGTGTGCAAGATTTTGCACTCCGGTCGTGCTTGCGGGATGGAGACTGCCTGGACATGAGGAACAATTGCACTGGCCGCAAGGTGAATGCATCGCATGCATGTTGGTGATTTTTTGCATTGAGATGTGACCGCATGCACCTTTCTCAGGTGAGCAATGGGTCAGGGCGTTTCTCTTGGAGAGGCTTCTCAAGAGTTCCTCGGATATGACTTCGGCTTCTGCAGTGTCAGACTCTGCGAGGATGGTGTAGGCGATCGAGCAGTCTGTCTCATCACATTAGCAAATGCAGTAAGGCGCTACTTCCTGCAAAAAGTCAAGCTCGGAGAAGGGTCCTTCGGGACAGTTTGGAGAGCTGTGGACAGGCAAGCGCACAACGGTGGTCCCATCGGATGCGCTGTGCAGCCTTGTGCACTTGACACCGAAGCCGCGAGTCTGATGGCTAGGAAAAGCCGTTTTCTTTGTGTGTTTAATGCAGTGCCGCCTAGAGCTGATCATCTAACCCTGACACACAGGACGTAGCCCACGCAGAGAGATGTATTCAAGATGGACTGTGCTCGTAATTGTTGTAGGGAATAGTGTCTGGAGAAGCTGCTCACTTCAAATCACTCCTCGCAAACATAATTAGTTGTGTGCACGAGGGCGGCCCAGCTTGAAACCAGCTTGCAGAGGCAGGAAAACACCATCGTAGCTGTCAAGCAGCTCGACAAGGCAGGAGCTCGCCGTGCAAGTCTTCACAGGTCGCGACACAGCGCAAAGCCTCTGTTGACAGGCATTGCTGCCAAAGCGCGGCGTTCGCCGGCAAGATATTGAGCGAGAGGTGGCAGTGATGCGAGCGGCGTGGCCACACACTATGCGTGGGTGGTGGAATGCATGTTTCTCTAGGGCTCTAGGGAGCATGCGACTCCCCAACATGACTGTGCAGCTGTGCCTGGGCTTGCTGACTAGGTTTCCTCCAGGTTTCACTTTGCTTCCTTGAGTTCTTTCAATATGTGGCCTTGTTGACACGTCACTTGCTAGCTTTGTTTGCTGGTTCGGCTGGCATGTATGGAAAGTCTGTCTGTCTGTTTGTTTGTGTTTCCGTCCGTCTGCATGCTTTTACGCAATGTGACATGTGCAGTGCATGCATGCATGCATGGATGTAATCATGTAGTTGTATGATGTTATATGTACACATGTATATGTGTATGTCATTATGTAGCTTCGGTATGTGACTAAGCATGTAGGTATGTGGGTAGGTATGGCATGGCATGGTACAGTATGCATTGTAAGAATTCTGTTGCATGTATGTATGCATGTATGGTCACGCGCTCCGCAGCCCCCCCCCCCCTCCCCCCCCAAAGGTCAATGGTCCGGATATAGGGTGGGGCCCCCCCCTCCCCTGTGGTGTGGGGTGTGGGGTTCCTCTTCCCCCTGTGGGGTGGTTGTGGGGTTTTGGGGTTTAGGGTTTAGCTTAAGCTTTTGAGTTTTGGGTTTACGGTTATAAGGTAAGGCTTCGAGTCGACAAGGGCTTAGGGAGGATTTGCTGTGTATGCTCTGCGTTAGGCTTAGAGCCTGCAGTTAGGTGGGGTTTAGGTTGGGTGCAGCTTTTTAAGTACAAGTTAAGGTTGCTCAAAACAGGGGCACGCGCTGCGTTATAGGGTTTACGGCTTGCTTGCGAAGGGCTTGCGCGTGAGCCCTGGCCACCAGCACCACCCCACCATCCAGCGGCAGCTCCAACAGCCCCCAACCCCTTTCCGCACACGCCAGGCCCCCCCCCCCCCCCACCCCTGTCAGACCATACCATTGGGGGGGGGGGGGGGCTGGGAACGCCAGACGCCTGACCATGTATGTCTGTATGTGTGTGTTTGTGCATGTATGTAAGCATGCATGCATGCATGCATGCATGCATGCATGTATGTATGTATGTATGTATGTATGTATGTAGGAATGTATACGATGCGTGCGTGCGCGTCGGCTTGTCTGGTATATGTATGCATGCTTGTATGCACTTATGTATGTATGTATGTATGTATGTACGCATGTGATGCGTGTTGTGTTGTGTGTGTGTGTGTGTTTGCGTGTTTGCTTGTCTGACGGTGCTTGCATGATTGTGGAGGCATTCCGAAACCTTACTTGTTCACACTTGAGAGACAGGTTCTCGGAAGAGCAACGGGGTTTCCGTTTAGAGCGTGCAGTAGGCGACCATAGGTCAGTGTATGTAGTGGAAGGTTAGCAGGGTTTTAGGTTTTCGGGCTGAAACCAGTGTTGAGGAGGTCTCTGCGGTTTAGGGTTTGGGATGGAGGGTTTTGTCGCAGTCTCACTGCAGGGTTTGAGAAAGTCTGCCCCCGAGCTGCCCCGTGCGTTTCCTTAGCTCCATGGGTCCATGCCTGAGATTCTTCAGTGGGCGTTTTGTTGTTATTCTTGTTTGTGGCGGTGGTGGTGTGGTGCTGCTGCTTGCTGGCCTTGTGTTGGTGTCGTGGTTGTTGGTGGTGGAGATTGTGGTGGTGTTTTGTGTGCTTGTATGTGCTTGTCTATCCGAGCGTCCGTTGTATACATGCACTAACTTAGCATGTCAGGCCGTGTCCCATCCGAGCCAAGGCTGCATTCAAATGCTCTGATGGCAGGGTGGCGGGGTAGACATATTGGATGTGTGACAATGTGTGATCCAAATATGCCTGCAAAAGGAATGTTACCAAGTTGTTCGGCAGTTGGGAGGACTCTGCAAGCATATTCTTGGCGTGCCTTTGGCTGAGCAGATTTGCGCATGCTTGCTTGCTGTCGTCCTGATATGAATACCATGGCGAGAGTCGGGCGACAAAGCGATGGGAATCTGAGGCTGGAGTATTGTGCCACGGCAATAATTCTGGGTGTAAGCACCCTCGTGCGGGAAGCAATCAAACGCCCGTGTAAATGTGGCAACTACAGGTAATGGTGGCGACTTTGGAGACAAGGCTTCGGAAATGCGCAACGACTGAGCCCGATTCAGGAGTGTAGGAGTGAGTGCGTGTGCGCGTGCTCTTGCCGGTGTGCGTGCGCGTGCGGGTGCGGGTGCGGGTGTGGGCGTGGGTGAGTGGGTGTGTGCGTGTGAGTGATTTGCAGGTGAAAGAGAAGGGAATGGAACTCGAGGAAAGCACAGCTGCCGAATGGATGCCGCTGAGCTTTGGCAGTTTAGTCAAGGGGAGATACTCCTCGGACCGTACGCTTCCGCTGCGAGTGAGTGTGCTGCGGCAAGGTTCCAAATCGTCTCAGCCATCGGGGTCTTGCATAGCAAGAGTATCTGCCATAGAGATATCAAGCCGGACAACTTCATGGTGCATGACGAGGCCAGGAGGATTTCAGATGATGATACCAGTTATATCAGGATAGAGAAATCCGCTGGTGGGCGTGGTTTTCCAAGCACTGCAATGCCAGGTCTTGAAGTTGTCAGATTTTGGCTTGGCAGTTCACCTTCCTTTTGGCCAGAAGCTGACCGAGAAGTGCGGCACTCCTGCGTTCATGTGTCTTGCCTTCGTCGAGCCTCCATATGATCTTCATATCTCTCCGTGGGCCGGAGACATGACCACCGCTGCGCTGCTGCGCCGCGTGAGAGTTACTTCCCCAGGTCGCCGGAGCAACACCAGCTGCCGAGAGGAAGCAGGGGCCACTTGAGCTGCAAATGCGCGAACTGAGAGCGCGATTCTGGGAGATGATCGGAAGAGGGGCGAAAGAGAGAGTGGCCATGTCAGCGGCTAGGTCTCACGATATGGAGGTCGCTCATGTTCGGCTGAAGGCTTCAAAGTTGACCGCTGCGATATTAGGATGGATCAGGAGTTGGACGGTATGTTCGAGAACCAGGATCATTCAAAGAAAGAGAATAATCGTGTCATCGCCTCCAGTACGCCGATGAAGACAGACTGCAACAGTTGTCTCTCACGACACCGCGCACAGCCCAGTGGGCCCATGTCCCGTCTGCAAGATGTCAATATCTGCACAAGCTTAACACGTGCTCCGCATGTCTCTTATTGCAGCGCTTTGGATCCTCGGATGGCTGATCGTCTGTCACGGCCACTAGACTAGTCACGTATCGATTAGTTTCATTTCTCGTCGCAGAAAGCAACACTGTTTTTTCGAATTTCGTCGCCGTGAATTCTGCGCGCTTCGCTAAATCCCGATCCAAAATACGTGTCGTGGTTCAACGATGCGACAATTAACTCTGCATTGCGAGCAGCACTTCAGACAAGCCTTGTAGCTTTCGTGCCATCCGAGGCTACAGTCATTCTTGCGACGTTTGGGCCGCCGGCATCACCATGAAGCTCGGCGATTGGTAAGGTCTTCCGGAGGTGTAGTTTTGAGCTAGCGTGAGGAGATTTCAGTCGCAGGATGTTTTCACACATCGGCTCGCCAGCACAAAGGTATATGGTCATGTTCGCTGGCAAACATCCCTTCTTGCTGGCCAGCCACTCTTCTGAAATATCACTGCGTACTGATTGCTCGCACCGCCCAAATCGGCCCCGGCCGACGTTGTAAGTTCCAGGCCAGAAGAGGCTTCGATTCAAGATTGTAAAACAGCACCAGCGGCGCAAGCCATACACAATATCCTTGGGGCAACGGCGGACAGCCAACAGCAGGTCATGTCAAAGACCCTGCCGCAGCAGGGTTGTTGTTTGGGGATGGAGCGGTTTGACTCGTTTGACGGCATGGAATCTTCGATAATTTATCCATTTCTCGGGCGTTCATTCCCTGCACTTTAACCTTGAAGGAGAAACGGATTTTTGGTAGGGCATCAGTGCAGCTCACAACATAGATCATCGTCGGTGACTTCTTCCTTATCAAACACAGCCTCAGCAGACTGTGGCGGTCTCTTTGTTCATGTGTGTTCTGTCACCCGCAAGCGGCTCCTTGGTCGGTTGCAAGTCCCACAGCGCCAAAAGCTTAGGCCAGCAGCTGGATGAGCAGGCCTTACTTGCTGGCCAGCTGGATTTCAGCGTTGGCAGCAGCTTCTTTGGCTTTGCCATGATGCTTGACTGGCCTGGCGCAGATGTTACGAGTGAAAGGGCTTGTGTCAGCTTGCGCGGGTACCACGGGTAGCTGGGTAGACACTTGCACGTGCACCTCAGGACCGATCGCTTCTCGGAGTCTGCACGGTTCTTTTGCAGACAGAAGCTGAAGCTGAATTGGTGGGTGTAGCATGTATAATGTACTGGTGGAACACTGCACTGGATTTTGTTGAACCACGAGCACGTGCACGGGACGTTTGCGCACTAGCACATGGTGGAAGGACATCTACGCATTAATCGGCGATAGAGCGGCACACACCATGACGCATGTTGTTTCGTGAGCTTGTGGATTGTAGAAGTTCGGAACCGACAGTTGCTGTCTGTGTATTGCACTTGGTTCTGTAAGAAACAATCGGCCGAGTGCTTGGAGGTCAGGTAAATGATGCTCCGTGTGCCTCGAGAGCCCGGAGCCTCCATTTCTGCTTTGGCCTATGAAGGGATGGCTGGGGCCCTGGGGCAGGCGGTGGAGAGGCTCCTTGGGCCCGTGCTGAGATCGCGGCAGTCCGCACTATACGGCAGATGTGCAGACATTGTCAGGGGTTGGGGATGCGGGATGCACTGACGATGATACTCGGGGGTGATCCGGCTCTCCGTATGCTTGGGTCCATCCGCAGTGTTGCAATTCAGGCAGCTCTCCGAGCCTCGCGCACAGCCCCACCCCCCTACAGCAGACGCAACTGCCACTCGTGAGTTCAAGGCTATGCCGGCTATGCCACTGGGTACTGTGCGGGATTGCGATGATCAAAACTGGGTCTTCCAGACATGGATCTGTTTGCAGGCCAGTCCCCCGCGGCGACAAACCACTGCACCCGCAACCCTGCGACGGGAGCCCTTGGCAGCCTTGGCAACAATGCCCGCAAGGCGAAGATGAACACCGTGATCGACCCAGGAGATGACGGAGAGATCCCGAAGCTCGAGCAGACGGATGTGGACCGTCACTGCAGGAACTTGGAGGCCATCCGGGGTGGCCCAGTCCGACCGGAATCGGGGCCCACGCCGGATCACATCTTTGCTCTCAAAGGTATTAAAGTGGATCTTGACCTGGCACCGTATGCTGACTTCCAGACCAGGTTCGCGCGGTCCCTAAACTTCCTCCACCACACCCTTCAACCGCATGGGACCTTTGGGGGGTGGAGGTCGCTGGTCCTCTGTCCTGGTACGTATATGTTCGAGAACACACTGCTCATGCTTCGGGTAGAGGAGGTGTCGGAGAACCAGGTCCAAGTGGTGGCACAGTCCGCCTTGGACCTGTACCGGGAAACCTCTCCGCTGAGGACCGCTGCAAAGCGGTACCTTCATGAGCGCCACGCGCGCCGTGTTCAGTCGCGGCCGGCCCGGACAGAGGCTTTTTGGGACGAACATGTGCTGCGGTTCCTCGCCACGAAGTCGCGAACCAAGGTTCAAATTGGGGTCACTGACTGGAGCCCGGACGGACACCACGGGTACGGAGCCCGCACCGCCGGCAGGGGAACCAGACGGCGAAGAAAGGGCGCACCGCCTAGGGAGGGGGCAAGGGCGGCAAGGGGTGGCACGGCGCGGGTCCAAGCGCGCCAGGGACAGGCCTGAAGGGAAGACAGACGAGGAGTGGCCTCCTCGCGGAACGATGCGCTGAGCTCCATTTGGAACTCGGCCGGGCGTTTAGCGTCGAGGATTTATGCCCGAAGAAGCATCGACACGCAACACGCTGCTCCTTCAAGCTGGGTTTGTGGAGGGAGTTCCTCGAAAGGGACTCTCTGCCCTCGTCGATTTGAAGGGGTGTTCCCAGAGGCGAGCCTCTTTGAGGCGCAGCGAGCTTCGCAGGAGTATCCCGAAAGACCGGGGAAGGAGACGACAACTGCAATGACAAGTCATTTGCTCAAAACGCGGCCGAGTCTGACCAAGAATTCAGGATGATCAGCGAGGGCCACTTCGAGAAGATAGGGACACGGGAAGATGTCCTCGTCAAGAGGTGGCCGGGAGCTATGGCCACCAAGTGGCCACACTCGTGAAAGAACGCCCGACGGGACGACCCAGCTTAGGACCCGGCTGGTGGTGGACCAGAGGCGGAGCCTAGCCACCCTCCTCAAAGAGCGCATTGCGATTTCTTTTGGGGGGCGACGCCGTACAGTACGCCGTACAGGGGCGCTTGGACCTCTTGCGAGCGACCGGCCGAGGAGGGAAGGTAGTGCTCATGCCGGTGGAAGTTCAGGACGCCTTGCTTGATAGTCAATGAGGAAGACAGGGCGTCCACCATCATCCAGGACACTGCGGGCACTTACTACGCGTACTTTGGGGTCCCCTTCGGGCTGGCCACCGCCCCACTTTTATGGGGCCCAGGGTGCGGGTATGCCCGGAGCAAGATTGTTCTCGCAGTTGTTTACTAGATGGCAAGTTGGAAGATCAGCCGAGGATGGTTACTCCTGACATGGGCAAACGGATTTCAGCTGCTGCCGCGTGCCACAGCGAGTGGTTCCGGGACGACTGGCTTGATCAATATGATACTGAGACTAGTAGATCTCAGGATGATTGTTCTGTCGGACTCCCGCACAAACAGGAGCAAGCTGTCGGAAAGTTTCGACATCCCCAGGACCGGGCATAGGGTGTTTGCGGCGTCGAGATTTAGGGCGAGAGCTTGACAAACCTCGAAGCAGCCACTGTTGGTTGTGCCTTGCAGTTTGCACCAGTTTGATGTGCGCGGGCTTTGTTGCATACAGTTGGAGGAAGCTGACCCAGTACCAAAGGAAGGAAGCCCGGTGATTTGCAGCTGGACCGAGATCAGAAAATTTCGGATTTGCCGATCACGCTCAAGTTATGCGCATCCGACGGGCTGGGTGGTCAGTGTCTTGCAGTGGAGCAGCTACTGTAGAGCCGAAAGAGTCTTGTCAGAGATCAGTCAAGCGACCTCTGGATCCTGGCAGGCAAACCGCCTGCAAGCCCAGGAATTGCCAGGCGCACAGCAATGCAGTTTGCATGGCTCTGGCAGACCAGGGCCTGCATTGACGTGGTTTTGCAAAGACCGGATATCATGCCGTGCGCCCGTGCACGTATCATTGAACAACATGCGGCCCGCCTTTATGCACATACTGACATACAAGCCATATATACTCCGTCGCTATCTCGTTCGCTCTGGAACCGTTTCTGTCGTTTGTTGCTCCACTTTCACCTTGCCTCGCTTCTTGTCGGTGAGCCGCCTTGATTTCTCCTCTGTTTCTCAAAAAATAGCATGTGTTGCCAGGGTGCAATCAAACGTGACCGTCGATGGGGGAAAGGACAAGGAGGAGCACCTGTAGCACTTGCAGTAGTCAATGCACGATTCTGCAGCACGTCGTCTCTCAGGAGTCCACTCAGCGCTGGTGGCCATTCAGTGCAGAAACACCTTCGCAACCGTCCCGCGAATGAACCAGTGACATGAGCAGGGATGCGCTTGCGAGCACTGCCACATGCGTGTGTCATTGGTGATGGATGCTGATCCAACAGGCTTATCGGGGCAATTCGCTAATCGAGACGAAGGTGAAGGTCCTCAGTGTGAGCCACTGCTGTTGAGGTCAAAGCCGAAGCAGCCGGAAGCGCCGGAACCAGAAGAGCAGCAGGAGAAGCAAGAACTGCAGCAGGAATTGCTGCAGCACCGGCGAGCGCTGCAGGGACAAGGCTCTCCTCGAACTTCGCACGCGGACGACGAGCTTCGAAAGCGGAGCCTCGGCCTCGAGCAGCGAAGAGACGACTAGACGATACTAGACGACTGCGACGGTGCCTTCGAATGTCATGTCAAATTCTATTCTTCGCGACGCAAATCATCCAACACGACAGTTTGCTGTAGTTTGCTTCTAAGGATCCAAGGGTTGGAGGAGCAGTTGAGGTCCGGAAGTCAAAGTCGGCGTTGTTCTCCGCCTCCCCGCTTCCCCCGTGCAGGCAACACGAGGAGCAGAGCCGCCTGCGGGAGGAGCAGAATCGCTTGCAGAAGGAGCAGAACGAGTCCCAATGGGAAATGCTGGTGCAGAGACTTAGCACAATTGGGCTCGTCGTCATCACACATAGGGTGGGCAGTGTGTCGGTGATGATGAATGATGAAGGACCCCTCTCGGACATCCTTCACCCCTGTCTGCGATGACTAAATATGCCAGCGTAGATGCCACTACAGTGAAGAGCACCATGGCGAGCATGACGACGACGACCACTCCACGACCACAAGGAGACCACAAGGAGATCCCGACAACACCAGCAGGACAGGTCCCGGGCAGTGTGCTTCCGCGGGCGCCACTTGGTACACTAACCCATTGTTTACACTTAACGTTAGAACCGCGGCCAACCCCCAGCGGTTATAGCGCGTACTGCATTGCACTCCTTGGGCAACCAAGTGTTGTTGTTGTCCCGCAATCACATGCAAGCACTCAGGATGCAGCAGTTTATCAAGGACAAGAAGATGACGCAGGACTTGGAGGCCGCTCGTTGGCGTCAACTGGCATGGTGGTCGTTGCTGCTTGTTGTGACCCCGGCCCCCAAAGCTCCCCAAGCCGGATGGAAACCGCATCTGGTCCCCGAATCGCGAAGGCCTATACAAACAGATAGCAAACGGCGTTCTCTTTGTGCGTGGATCAGACCCAATGAGCACCCACAGCTGTTTGCGCTACCCCGGACTTTGGACAGAAGGGCGGCAGCCGCAGCAGGGTGGGCAGTACATAGATTATGTTTCTCGCTGCCATGATTAGCACAGCATACTTGCATAATGTGAATGCTTGCGGCATGTTGCAGCAACAACATAGTACTAGTTCAGCTGTTAAGCTAGCATGTCGAGGTGGTGCTCGTCATGGTGGGACTTTGCGCCGGTGAATCAGAATACTGAATGAGGCAACTATGGCCGGCAAGACGACGCCACCTGAGCCAGTGCAGCCCGCTTCGCAGGCTGGCAGAGGAGCTGATTGTGCATGCTCGCATGACGAGGTGTGTAGCAAAAGCATGCACAACCTGCACAGAACGGTCTTTATTGAGCCTTCGCTGCAGCGCAGCTATCTGGATGAGGTGACTGGGGAGACAAGTCCCACTGGGCAGCCAACTTCCAGTCGGAGCTACTCCCGCAGGCCGCCACGCTCCGCTTGTGGACTGAATAAACACAGACGGAGATTGTGAGAAGAGTCAGCGGGCACGATGGTGATAGCACACAGGCCTGACACAAAGTAGTTGGTTGAGATGATAGCTTACATGACGCAGCGCGGTGCGGACGGAATTTGCCCTTGAACACGGTCTGTAAACACAAACACAGCTTCGGTGCTGCTGGGGCTGGGGCAGCAGGACGGTGAGCGCTACGGCAGCTCCACCTGAGATGCAGCAGATCCCGGCTGTGCAGACTTTAAGGGCAGGCATGCGCAGCTTGTTGGCAGTTGGGATCTGATCTAGAATCTAGCGCTCTCGCGGTCTTCGTGGTCGAAAGCGTCTCGCACGCTTCAGTGCAAGCGCACGTTTCTCGGTGTTTCTCTTGGCGACCTCAGGATGCCGCTATTACTCTTCCACGTACGGCAGATGGATCAGCGCTAAAGTCGAGAAGTACCATCCTAATGGGACGCCAGGTCCTCATTTGCTGAGCTCACGGGCCATCCTGAGGACTGCAGGCTCACTGTACACGTTCCAGGCCAGCATGGTCGCTGCATGTCGCTGCATTGCACGTGGGGTTTGATAGTTGCAAGGTTTGACCTGGACGTGAAGCAACATGCTTCCATCGATTACATCTCGCCACTCCCAGATGTTGCAGAAGCAGAGGCGCGCAGCCAGGAATGCTGACAGACAAGAAACTTCGCGGCAGTGCAGGGATCTCTGGAGATCGTTGGGTTCGTTTTGTTGCTGACTGAAGCTGGGGATTCGGCGCGGGTGCTGTCGAGAAGCCTGTGCGATGGGTTTGTTTCGTCTGATTGTTCGGTGCCGGCTGGATGGAGTCATGCAGTAGGTGCCAGCGTGTCTCGTGTCCATGCGCTTTGATACCTGTATCCGGTCCCCTGCTGGCCCTCTAGACTTTCACATATTTCGCTTGCGAAAGAAGTTTGAACTGGAAATGCCTGACATCCTACGACTGCAGTGGGGCTGTGTAGAAGAACTGGGACCCCCTGCGGAACAAGATCACGGCAGAGCACTGTCTTGCTACGATTAAGTCCCGCTGTCAGATTGGTCAGGCATGGCCGCCTGGTACGAGCGTCTGCTACAACAGTACATCTGCCAAGCGGTGGATTCCGGCTGTTGTCCAATCGCCGGGTGCTCAGGAAGCCTTGCCTTCCCTGAAGGCTGCGATGCAGCGCAGACCTTCAGTGAATAGTCACTATGCCATGCGGCATCCTTGAGTGAGCAGCTTCCCACTGTCGATGGCCGTTCCCTCAGGTTCAATGCCAGCGGTGCGAATGTAGCTTGGTTTGGGGAAAGCCGGAGACACATGTCAGATGCGCGCTTGCGGCGCTGATTGTTTCTATCGGGCACCATTGTTTGTGAGGTCCTGAAGACCCGGTATTCTTTGTGTGCATGTGCGCATCTAAGGCTGGCACATACAATTTAGATGTGAGGCCCTGTGCAGACTGTGACCGGATCAAGCCTAAGTTATTAAAACATGAGGCCGTGCCTGTTTGATCCAGCTTAGCTAGGTGCACTGGTGAGTGCCCGCGCCGGAACTGCAGTACTCAATATGCTTTGGTTTTTAAGATCGGCTGTTCGACCGAAGCATTCCCCTTTTCACACTGGCAGGGTGGACACGAACCATTGTCGAATTTCGTTTCACTTGTGGCACTCTGTGTGCCAATGCCGCCAGAGGCCTCCGGCATATCGCCTGCGGCCTTTCAAAAACGTGCGCACCGTTACAGCGTGCAATCATCATTTGGCAGCACTAATTTTTCTTCGATAGGTGCTGCTGGAGCATGGGGCCTGTCCTGATGCTGCCGGCCGTGAGGGTGTCCGCACCTCGATCTCAGCCTCCGGAGGTGGCACTTGCGAGTTCCATCGTCGAGGTCACCCCTTTGGAGCTGATCCTGCGCAAGCAGCGCGAAGACAGTGCAGACGGCGAGTGGCTGAGGCGGATTGTCAATGTGAAGATTAAATTGCAGAGGCACTCGCACGCTAGTTAATGGAAAACGATGCCCTGCCGGCGTTCGGAGACTAGATTTTGGGATGAGAATCCGTACTGACCTGTCAGGCAGTCCGCCGAGGCCAGGAGAGCACATGGTTGGTTGATTCAACTCAGTCTTACCTCCTGTGGACGTCACATCCGATCCGCGTCAAAGGCCTTGCGACAACACAGGGCGAAACTGGAAGCATCGCAGGCTGGATGCACCGCAAGCTTTATGGATATTTATGGATGTCTACCTGGATGCGCTACACATGTAATTCTGCTTCGCAGGAGGAGCACGCCGCTCGTGTCATTGATCTGTGCTGACCCAAGCTGAGGACACGATTCATGCGCCACTAAAGTACGGAATAGCAGGGCTGGTAGGGACAGCTGCAAGAGTCAAGAGTGCATCTTCACCGTTTCTGCACGAGCAATCTGCAAGCGCGGCCGGAAAGACATGTCGTGTCGCAGCTCAGGCAGAAAACATACGGAGTCAAAATGGTGCCGGCCTTATGCATAAAACAAAGCAGCATTCGATGAGCTGGAAGCGGACGTGCATCATGTGCATCCTTCGAAGCAACAGCTACATTCCCACATTGTATCTCCGTTGAACAGCACATTCTGATGGCCTGCGAACAGCTCAAAGGACAGAACATTTCCCAACGCACGTTGTTGCAAGCACAGGAACCGCTCCAAGTTTGAATATACCATGCGATGTACGGTGTCAAAGTTCTGGCATGGCCAGGTCAGTGCCTTGCTTACTCTCGCTTCGCCCCTGTCGCTGCCCGCGGAGATTTTGGAGGTGGGACAATGTCGGACACGCTTTGCACGGTGGTCTTGAATGTTCCACAGTTCCACATGTCAAGTTAAGCACCATGTGCCATATTACGAGGCTACAGCTTCGTTCTTTAGGCATCCTTCCTTGGGGGCTGCATTGCATGTTGAGGTGCTTCACCTCCTCTTCCGGGAACTTCCCCTGGAGGTCGCCAATTTATAAGCAGCTTGTGAGGTGGTGCATAGCAGTACGGGTTGCAAAAAGTGGGTCGACCTCTCGCCGAACAGGCAAACGTCCCAATCATGTAAACACGGGTCGAGCAACAAAGTCAGGAGAGACCTGTCCGTCATTCAGATTCAGAACTGCATACAATCCGCCGGAACATGTTAGAGTAGGGTTCCGGATGAAACTTCTCAAATTCGATGGGGCTCCTGACGATAGAGCAACGGCTGCAGCACAAAGTCTATTGAATCGAGGGTAGGCCGACGCACTCTGGTGGACCAGCAACACCTCTGCACGTGCTCGGGCCACTCACTTCCATGAAGCTGCCGCCTGCTTAGCGCTGGAAAAGATCTTTAAGTCTTTACTTGACACCGGTACCTGAGAGTAGGTGTGTTGGCACAGTTTAAGACCATACACCGATCTGCTGGCAATGCAAAGAAAGACACACGCTTTGGCTCGGCACGAAGTGATGCTGCGAAAGACAGACACAAGCAGACGAGACAAGACAGATTGCAGCAACTGTGCAGGCTTAGTTTCACGGTTGGGCCCTCGATGGAAGCAACACATTTAAGGGTATTTTGAGCTGGAAGCGCTTGCAGGTACAGGGGGTGATTGATCACACCACCCTTCCCCCATCTTGGAATAGCTTCGTTGGCACAGGCATCCAAGACGGGCCTGTGCCCCCTGCCTGGAAAATTCTCAGCTGCACTTGAACACTCCGGAAGGCTCAATCGGACACCATGTACAGGCGTGTACTGTACACACACACACACACACACATGAGCAGAGATCTCGACTCGTCCAGCGCTTCCCGCCACAGCTACTGGGGCTGATGCTTATTTGGCTGGATGTTAGCGAGCATTCAATACCAGACCCTGAAGACCAGACAATGCTGGAGCCGAGTCTCTGAAAGTTAAGCTCGCCCTAATCGTGTGATCAAAGCGTTGGCTGCAAGTCGGCTTCGATTCTGTGTGGCGTCCAGGCGTGTCTTGTGGGGGTTGAAACGGGCCCATGTTATGGCACCTCGTCCTCGGGTAACCAAACCCACCTGCCACCCATCTGCGATAATTGGATGTAGTCCGAGGCAAGCTGTGTATGGATCTATGCGGATACGAAACCAATGTGTTCCAAGAACGAGGCGTAGACAAATCTTGTTTGCTTGGTCGTGCGATGCTGCCATGCCGCTGTTGCAGGTGGTGAAGGAAGCACTGGAGCCACAGGCAGCGCAGCCCGGAACATGCTTTCTAGCTTCAGCACTTCACCTTATCCTGGATGTTCATGCTCTTGCGTCGGTTCTTTCCGCCGGGCCGGACCGTGCTATCCAATCTTGTTCACCTGTCGACACCGCCGCGGGTTCGTGCTAACCATGTTGATATGCGGCGAGCACAGCACTGCAAGTGATCTGGCAGCAGGAGCATCTGATGCGGCGTAGGGCTTCCAAGTTTCGCGGGCAGGTTCGAGTGCAGGTGCGCCTGTTTGACATTTTGGAAGGCATTCTGCGCCTTGACAACACTGCTGCAGCATGTGGCCGGACACTCTGGAAGGAGGACTTGCTTTCGCTTCAGACACTTTCTTGCGGTGGTTTGATGCAAGGGCGTCTGAGCAGTAGCGCCCCTGCGCAATGAGTGTGGCACCCTGGCCTTCACATCTCCACAACATGACAAACAATATAGGAACTCTGTGGTGTGTCAGCATACCAATACGGGCTATTAAGGTTCAGGTACAGGGATGGTGCACGCAGGATCGCACCCGGGTGTACAGGTGTACATCTCGCAGCCGGTTTATTTGCACTCTCTGTCATGTTGATTTCGCGCACTGCATGATTCGCAGGCTCAAGTCTTGGCAGGCATGAGAGAGATGTCTTCGTGTTTGAAAGGGCCCGCGTAGCCATGGTCGGAAGGCAGGGCATGCGACGTGTGTAGTTGGCGGAGAAGAGAAGATTTTACACTGCTCTGGCTTGTCATCTGCTTGGCAGGATACGCGACCAGACCACTGGAGCTGTTCTGAGAGCATCTGGCAAGAAAGACAGCCGAAACGAAGACCGAGATGCGCCCCCTGGTTTCGTACATGCGTGCTCACCTGGGCCTGTCAACCTATTCCTTACTCGGTGTTCCTCTATAGGAGTTTGCACTTTCCTTACTCAACACGAGGAATCCGCTAAATGATTCCATTCCGGGCGAAGTTGTCCGACGCAACGAATCTTGGCCAACACTGCATCTTGATCTTGTTTTGTACTCATTCTTCGTTAGTAAAGTCAAACATCAATCCTGCCATAGTGAAGTCTTCCAATACTAAGGAAAAAGCTCATAAATCAGGGCCCAGTGCGAAAGCTCTGGCAGAAACAGACTTGCAAGCTGTTCTGGCGAAAGGCTCCGGCACTCGAGAAAAGATTTTCGGCCGCAATGGCAGCTGTGGATTTCTATAAATAAGACCGACGGACGGAGTCCGGCAGATGCAACACTAACGAATCGACCCCTGCAACATCACGTGGTTGTCCCCACTCTGCAGTTTGTGAGCTGCGCCACGATGATGTTAGTCTGGGCTTGATCAGCCCTAGAGCTCTTAAGTTGCATGGAACCTGTTCTCATCCATCGTCACATTTCAATCCAGCCGAGGGCCCAGAGCAACCCCTCAAGATTGAACCCTCAGACCCTCCACAAAGCAACACGACTGCATCCACTCTGCTGCCACCGGCCACTGCGCGTCCAAGTAATCCCTAGTCGAGTCAGCTTATGCGAGAAGTATGGGAACAGGAAGCTCTCAGCAGGCTGGAGCAACAGTCGTTGCCTGATTGCCTCGAGACTATCTGCTTTCAGTGTGTAGGCTAGTTACATTGGGTCTACACATGCTCGCACCTTCGCGAGTTTATGCCACCCACCACCGGATCATGAGCACCCATCTTTAGGATTTGTCCGCATTTGAAATGATCGCCTCGCGGCCTGGACCTGAAGGTGGCTGAAGAAGGCCTTGCAACAGGTGCAGGAGGGGGACCTGTCGGCTGCAGACGTCTACAACATCCTCAAGGCCACGCGCAGCCAGAGCCCAGAGTGCACCTGAACCGGACACAGAGGGGAGCCTTGACGGCCGGCAGGTGCCGGACTTCGCCTCGGACCTGAAAGATAAGACAGGGAAGAGCATGTCCCATGGTCAAAGAGCAACGCCTCAGTAGACTTCTGCATCGTGTGCACTTTGCGGTGCTTTGCTTTGCTTGATTTTTGGTGCGGTCGTGTAACAGCATGTGGAGCCTAGCGTGAAGCGCACTGCGTCTGCTGTCGGTGAGTGTTTGAGCCCCACTTCTTCCAGTCAAGGTACAAGTTTCTCATGTCTCGGATATCCGTGTTCTCAAAGGGGCCGACCCGCCGCAAGATGGAGTTGCTTGTGCGAGTCCTGCTTTGTGGCCTTTTGCCATCTCCTGTCTTGGCTGAGGCAACAGCGATTCCTGCAAAAGGAATGCTCTTTGGCTCAGCTTTTCGGTGGAGAAGGATTTCCGCCTGCTTCCAACCGAAAGACGCAAGACTGTCGGATGCACGCCTTTGGGTAAAGCATGGTAAAGCTCTGCCAGGAGGTCAGGGCGTGGGCAGTGACGAAGTCAAAATGCCCAATTCGGCCGAGCCAAACCCAGAGGCTGCGGAGCAGATGATGGCTTCTTTGCTGATCTACTTACACCGGTTTAATCCTTCTTTATCATTGATTGTCCTCCGAAGCCAGTAAAATTTTTTTGGGCAGTGCTTCTTTGATAGTCACCTAGTGAGGCGCGCGTGCGAGAATTCGTGCGGCAACAGCAGGGAGTGGAACTGGCTGCTTGGCAAGCAGTTTGATGACAGTCACAACAAGCAAGAAACGACAGGGCCAGGCAAGGCAATAGCCTGGTGGTTAGGCAGAATCGGTTAGCAAGTGCGCCACATCGGAATGTTGGAGCTTCCAAGGACCAGGCAGTATCTGCCGTTCCGGAGCCTGTCGCGCCCCCTGGCGCCAACACTTAGACTTGAGTTCAGGGGTGTAGGCTACGATGTAAGGAGGCACAGGCCAGTCTCGGGTTCTTTCCGTTTTGGACGGATCGCAGTTGAATCGCTCTTGGCCTGGTGCCAGGGATGCTTGTGACGGTTGTTGACTCATTGATGCTTCCTTGCGTTGCCAGGCCGCCACCCCTCCCCAGGCAGGATACATCTGCAGTGGCGAGCATGATCGCCAGGACCCGGGCTTTTGGGCGGGAGACCTCATCTTTTGTCCACCTTGCTCCCAGAGCCCCACTGTTCTTGCCCGAGATGTGTCTCGGGTCGATTCCGAAAGTGTGCAAGGCCTCATTGTTACTTTGGGCTTCGGGGATGTAAGCGCCTTGTGCATGAATTGACGTTTTCACAGCTGCTGTTTCTCATTGTGCTAAGTGGTGACAGTCTTATGCAGTCCTGCAGGGCGGCTTCGACAGCAGAGCCTCAGCTTCAATCACCGTTGATGGCTTGCTGTGGCGTTGAATCATTCAGAAAGCAAAAAATGGCAACTTAGGACTTAGATTTATGTCAAGCCTCTGTCAGGTGAGTTACCAGGCGGCCAGGGCGGCCTGGCCGAGCGAAAGCGAGATGGCACCGGATGTGCTCACGCAGGCCGTGAAGCCGTGCATGGGAAGGCTTCTGCTGTCTGCCCTGAAGGCACGGAACGAAAGTGAAGCTTCAAGTCCATCTCGAAAAGTCAAGAAGCCACTCGGACTCAAAAGGAACATGCCTAAAGCACTCATTTCTGCACGGCAAGCAAACGCGAAGCAACCGGGTGAGCCCAGGAGTAAGCGTCCTTCCTCCAGCTCTCCAAGCTCGAGGCGTCGCCGAAAGGAATCGCGCTCGCGCTCCAGGCGATCATAACTCTCGCTCTAAACAGACTTCCCTCATCTTCCCTCTCTGTCGGCTCCAACCCAGCATGAACCAACTCGTTTTGTTTGCGGCTGGGAGTCTCGATGCTTTCGACTTGCAATGGGCTCGAGCCTCTCGATTGCGTCGCCTTTGAGGGACGCTTCGAAGAGTTCCGAGATTTCAATCCTGTGTCTCTGCATCTCCAACTCTGGCTTTGGTTCCATAGCACCAGCAGGCCAGTCTGCCACTCCGGTTCCTCTCTCCCGAAATGGGTGTTGGAGGGTCCGAATCGTTTCCGGGGAACAGTAGGCCGAGCTCATTGATGGAACGTTGTGTGGGCGTCAGATGCTTGAAGTGTGTATGCAAGTGAACCTCCAAGAGGGCAACTAGCTGGACCTTCAATAGATACGCGTGGTGCAGACGAGGAGAGGAACACCTCGGCTTGAGTCAAATGGTCCCGCCATGACATCAACTCGTAAGCTCCAGCTTTGTTCAGTCGCTTGCAGGGGCCGGAGGAGACGATAGGGTGAGGCCTCCCAGTGGGATGATGGCCCTCGCTGCGGAAATGCAAGATGCTGTCATCTGTCAATCGCTAGGAAGATAACCGTTGTGCATCTGTTCAGAGGTTGAGACCACCTGGTACTGTACCAGATTGCATCATTATAGTTGACATCAAGATTTGTTCTGCTATTTCCATTACTAGTCATAAACAAAGTTGTCGTCACACACGGTTCCACCGTGCATCGTGCAACGCACTGCAAAGGCAGAGTTTGGAACAGAGGTCTGCCAACAGAACAAAATTATGTCGGCCAATGAACTTTGCAAAGAGACCGACCTCTATCTTATGGCATGGAAAGACCGAGCACATGATCCGGCGGGAAAAGAAGGCCGCCACTGTGACCGAAGCCTCTGTACTTCCCCTGTCGGATCCTACATCCTTAGCCACCTCTTTTGAGATGCCCCCGCAGATCCGCGAAGTTGCCGCCACTGCCGCCGACCCCAAAAGAAGAGAGGTGACTATCCAAGGAAGGCAGCAGGTGTTGAAAGCAGCTACGGAGGAAGTGACATGAAATAATAAGATAGGGCCTGCACAGTCGAGGTGGTGGCACTAATGGAGATGTGGTGAAAACGGTGAGGGGGGCTAGCTGGGGGTGCTGGAGGTGGTGAGGGCGGTGTGGGCGGTAAGGGCTGGGGGCGCGAGGGGGTCCGGGCACACATTGGCAGCCTTTAAATGCTCTTAATAAATACTCAGAGCTGTGAGAGCGGTGGATCGGCACGGTACGTGAAAGCGGTGGAGGCACAGCGAAAACGTAGCAGTAATGGAGATGGTGGGGGTGGTGAAAACGGTGGGGGCGGTGGATGGGGGTGGTGGAGGTGGTGAGGGCGGTGAGGGCGGTGTGGGCGGTGAGGGCGGTGGGGGCGGTGGGGGCGCGGGGGGGTGCGGGCACACATTGGCAGCCTTTAAAAACACCTACAATACAGCGGTTAACTCCCCCGACAGAACACTGGGGGTGGCGGCAGTGCTGTGGGGAGGGTGAGGGGTGAAAGCTGTGAGGGCGGTGGAAGCGGTGAAGGCGGTGAAAGCGGTGCGAGCACAGTGGAGGTGGTGGCAGTAATGGAGATGGTGGGGGTAGTGAAAACGGGTGGGGCGGTGGCTGGGGGTGGTGGAGGTGGTGAGGGCGGTGAGGGCGGTGTGGGTGGTGAGGGCGGTGGGGGCGGTGGCAGTGAGGGCGGTGAGGGCGGTGTGGGCGGTGGGGGCGGTGGGGGGTCCGGGCATACATTGGCAGCCTTTAACCTACAAATACAGCGGCGAAAGACTCTTTAAACAGAGTGGAGGCGGTGGGGGCAGTCTGGTACATAGGCAGGTGAGGGCAGTGAGGGCGGTGCGGGCGGTGTGGGCGATGGGGGCGGTGGGGGCGCGGGGGGGTCCGGGCATACGTTGGCAGCCGGCAGCCTTTAGATTATTAAACACTTACAAATACAGCGGCGAAAGACTCTTTAAACTGAGCAGTCGAGGCGGTGGGGGCAGCCTGGTACATAGGCAGGTGAGGGCAGTGAGGGCGGTGTGGGCGGTGGGGGCGCGGGGGGGGTCCGGGCATACATTGGCAGCCTTTAAATACTCTTTAAACACCTACAAATACAGCGGCGAAAGATTCTTTTGAACAGAGCAGTGGAGGCGGTGGGGGCAGTCTGGTACATAGGCAGGTGAGGGCAGTTAGGCCGGTGAGGGCGGTGGGGGCGCGGGGGGGTCCGGGCATACATTGGCAGCCTTCAAAAAACTTTTTAAAGACCTACAAAAACAGCGGCGAAAGACTCTTTAAACAGAGCAGTGGAGGCGGTGGGGGCAGTCTGGTACATAGGCAGGTGAGGGCGGTGGGGGCGCGGGGGGTCCGGGCATACATTGGCAGCCTTTAAATACTCTTTAAACACCTACAAATACAGCGGCGAAAGACTCTTTGAACAGAGCAGTGGAGGCGGTAGGGGCAGTCTGGTACATAGGCAGGTGAGGGCAGTGAGGGCGGTGAGATGCGGTGAGGGCGGTGGGGGCGGTGGGGGCGGTGGGGGCGCGGGGGGGTCCGGGCATACATTGGCAGCCTTTAAATATTTTTTGAACACCTACAAATACAGCGGCGAAAGACTCTTTGAACAGAGCAGTGGAGGCGGTGGGGGCAGTCTGGTACATAGGCAGGTGAGGGCAGTGAGGGCGGTGAGGGCGGTGTGGGCGGTGGGGGCGGTGGGGGCGCGGGGGGGTCCGGGCATACATTGGCAGCCTTTAAATACTCTTTAAACACCTACAAATACAGCGGCAAAAGATTCTTTGAACAGAACAGTGGAGGCGGTGGGGGCAGTCTGGTACATAGTGCGGGCGGTGTGGGCGGTGGGGGCGCGGGGGGGTCCGGGCATACATTGGCAGCCTTTAAATACTCTTAGACACCTACAAATACAGCGGCGAAAGACTCTTTGAACAGAGCGGTGGAGGCGGTGGAAGCGGTGTGGGTGCGGACACCTCTCGGGATATCACGGGCGCCGCCCGCAGGGGTCGGCGGATAAGGGACTACATGGATCTGTCAGCTCAGGACTGGCTGTGCAACCATGCCCACGGAACGTTTGGCTTGATTGAGTCAATCTGCCGCCGACTGTCCCGAGATGTCCCGAGGTCGGTGGCACTGACAACTTGAGTGTCGCCCTCCTCGGATGCCCTGGACTAAGCTGCTAGCAACGCGACAGCAAACGCCGCTTGAAGTCAAGCACAGCCTGTGGCAGAAACTGACTTCCCTCCTCCCTTGTGTTACCACGTGTGTTGTTCTGTCCGCGTCTGTGTGCGCATGCATGTGTACAGTCTGCAAGAACTGTTGAACGCCCAGCAACGCCTTCTTGGAAGCCGGCCTTTGCCATAGTCTCTTCTGCCAATGACCTACTTCGGCACGGCCTGGCTGGGATATCAATGGTGGATCCGGTCTCCGTTGGTTGCAGTGCTGAAGATACACATGTCACAGTGCAAATGAATGAAAACGATACCATGTCAATGAGTCAGTATGTTTCAAGACAAGAGTGACAAGAACAAAGTAAACTGTAACGTGGTACAGCGTGACGGAATAGCCAGGCATGTCCTGAGGTCACACGTGTACATTTATACATATGCCATATACATATCATATATATATATATATTTATTTATTTATAGATATATATAGATGTATATGTGTGCACATGTGTGTATTTGTGTGTATGTAGACACATCTAATACCTGCATACGTACATACATATTTATTAATGTACTTTGGGAGGAGCAGTGGTGCACCGAAATGTGCTGGACCATAGTACCAACAGTTGTCTTCTATTGACGTACTTGTATAGACAGTTAGATGTAGATAAGCTGGGAGCATAACCCTCACGCAGACATCCATGAAACGGTTGGGACGTTGGGACATCTGAAACAACATCGCTTCACTTTTCTTATTCTCCAGCCGGAGATAATAAAGTTGGCAGGGCCAATTGATCCTCCTCTGACTTGTCTTTATCTACTTGCATTGAATCTACTTGCAGCGGCAAAGATCTTTCGCCACAAGGCAGCTAAAACTGCAAGCTGAAAAATTGACAACCATGTCTGCACGCTGTGTGGAGGTACGCTGGGATGATTAGTCCCAATATCCTGAGGACACCATAGAGAGCTTCGTTGGGCAGAGCCCTATGGCCCTCCTCTGCCCCCCTGCCTGTTTACAAATCTGTCCTCTTGCATTGACTGCTACCAATTGGATCGCATGTATGATGTGGACGATACTTGCGAGTCAGCTCATGAACGCGTGTCGCGATGATCTTCGTTACGATGTCCACTATGTCGCCGGAGACGACTATGACTTCGATTTGAGATGGGCAATCGCTTCTTGGAGGCTGCATAAAGGCAGTCCTGCAAGAGGAGATTTGGAAGTCGAAGGCGGTGGCTGCAAGTAGGCAGGCCCTCCATGGCTGCTGTTCTCTTTGTCAAAACGAAAATGGAGCAAACGCATTGACAAACATTTTTTCAAGCACCAGTTATAATATAACATTTTATCTGTACAACCGCAATCAGACACTGTGGACTGCATTGGTTCTGCATGCGGGTGGGTTTCTGGTAATCCAGTGTGCAACATGAAGCATAAACACTCATTGCTCTGACTAGTGAATCCTTCCGCGAGCATTGAGCGTCTTGTGTGGAATGCTGTCGCTGATTCCTGATTTGAAAAGTGTACTCCTCCGAATTGGCCTTGGCGGACACACGGTTCCCACTCGACACAAATTAAGTGTTCTGCAGTGAGTTGTATCAACCGTGCAATGTTGTCGGTGCTCCATGCGACAAGATCCAAACACAGGACGTAGGTGCCCTTCGTAAGGTACGAAGCTGTCAATTGCAACATACACCGTGCATCGGACGATGTTCCCTGGCCACGGCATGCTAGCTTGGTCAGCGGTTCTTTTGAGTGCTACAAACTCAGAAGCATTGGGAAGTTTTGAGCTTGCTTCAGTGCCTGAATAATGACAGCAGATACAGCAGTTTGAAGCAAGGGACAGTTGCTATAAACTGCAAGGTGCTCGGACACTCTGGCTTTTGAACATACTTGTGTGAAATGCTGTTGTGGCAGCCAGCTCTGTTGACCTTTTCCGCTCGACGTGGCCTTTCGGCTCCAAGGGGGCCCTCTTGAGTTTAACGCTACCGACCTTTAGAGAAGCAGCGAAAAGAGCCATTGCACATCCGCTTTGCTTTATCCGTTGTCAGTTGGCAGCGGAGCCTCGGTTGAGGCTTTCGCCCGAGGGCGCCTGCGGCCAGCGACTACGTCGACCTGGCCGGCTTTTACACGGACGCCCTCTCGAGCCTTTACACGATCCGGGACTTTGGGGTGCGGGGCCAGCCTAGATGGCGGAACAGACCGGGGGCGACGGCGGTGGTTGGACCTACAGAGACAAGGACCCTCCACCAGGCTACTCCGGGGAGTCTCCCCAAACCACTTTCAAGGCCTACCTTCGCGACCTGGAGCTGTGGCAGGCGT